TCTGTGACTTTATTATTTTCGGGCACCTCTCACTAACTTGAGTGATCTGATGAATTTGTTCACTTTCTTCCCACCGGACTTTGTCGGGTTCCCTCTGATTCCCCCAGCGCATTGAGTCTCGCGCATACTAGGAGCCCACTATACACATCTGAACATCCACATGAAGGACTAAGCATGTCTCAGACACTTCAGACGCAAATCCCCCCTTTGGCCCCACAGGAGTCGAGCTCGGGGCTCGACTGAAAGGTGAATATTCTGGGATTGGGGGAGACAAACAGTTGCTGCAGGACTGAGTTATCAAGGTGACAGCACTCCGCCTCAGAGGTCGAAGTAGGACCCCGCCCCGCGGCCCAGCGCCAATTGGGCACGGCTTTTTCCGAATCCCCTTTTCGATTGGCTGAGAGGCGCGGCCTCGATGCACCGCAACGCGTTGCGATTGGTGGCGCTCTGGCCCGCCTTCCTCGGTGCTACGTACTGGGCTGATGCGAGGCCAGTTCTCTGCCAGCCAATCAGTGTGCGATCTGAGTGTGGTTCGACCGTGCGACTCGGATCCCTCCGCCGCCGCCGCGGGCGCGGCCTCCTGGCTGGGCTGGTTGCACCGGGTTAGGCTTCTGTTAGGGTCCGGGCGGGGTCCGGTATCTTGGGAGAGGCCGTAGAGAGTGCCGTCGTGCCAGCTGGAGGAGAAAGGGACGGAGGCCGGCGGCTTTGTCCAGAGGGCGCTTTCCCTCCTTCTAAGGACCCCCTCCTGCAAATTCAGACTCTTTCGTGGCATTCTAAAAGTTTAAAAAACAAAAACAAAAGAATCTCGAGTACAAATGCACACAATAAGTAAAAGAACGCTAATAAAAATAAAAGATTTCAATTGCCCGAAATTTCCAAAAGAAATGCCCAGTAGAGACATAATACAGACAGCCAAATTCTGAACCCTCAGTATCTTTCATCGCCCCATAAGTATTTATTGAACTGCTACTTTGTCCCGGCAACCGTGCTGCCCTGGAAGCACACCAAGGACTTAGTTTCAGATGGTGATTAGCGCGGTGGGTGAAAAAAAACGGCCATTAGGGTGGAGAGTCTGGGCAGTATTTTGAATTGTAACCACCTACAATGAGATGGTGGGGGAAGCGCGCGCGCGCGTGTGTGTATGTGTAAATAAGATTTCTCTGCATCTTATTACACCATCTATCCCCCCCTTCACCATTTGTGCCCCCTGACTAGAGACAAGTTTTCAGGAAATACAGTCCTTCTGGGAGCCTGGCTCGTGAAGAATGAACTTTGCAAATACATAAGAAGCCAAATCGAGCCAGAGGGTGGCAAGTCACCTCATCTGGTCCTCGTGTCTTGCCCCGTTGAAAACAATATAGAGGGCTTCCCTGGTGGCGCAGTGGCTGGGAGTTCGCCTGCGGATGCAGGGGCCGTGGGTTCGTGCCCCGGTCCGGGAAGACCCCACGTGCCGCGGAGAGGCTGGGCCCGTGAGCCATGGCCGCTGGGCCTGCGCGTCCGGAGCCTGTGCTCCGCAACGGCAGAGGCCACAACAGCGACAGGCCCGCGTACAACAACAACAACAAAAAAGAGAGAGTATAGAGAGGAAACCATGGCAAGCCTTAGAGGACGTGTACGGCTGTTTTAAATCTGTAGGATTAAATGAGGCCTCTGCTTGCAGGAATACCTCTTTCACCAGAAGCACTTGGCTCAGAAGGATTAGGGCTGTCTTAACACCCAGTACATAGTGTATCACCGAGTTGTGGGTGATCTTGAGTGGCTGAGTGTCCTACAGAAAGCACAAGAAAGTGGCCTGTGCCCTCTGGGTGTTTGCCTTAAAAAAATGAACAACATCAAGAGTTGCGAGTTAAGTTTTATTTGGGGCAAAATGAGGACTGCAGCCCGGGAGACAGCGCTTCAGATAACTCTGAGAACCTGCTCCAAGGAGGTGAGGGGGGAGCCAGGATATATAGGAGTTTTGCAACAAAGGGCGGGTAGCCGGGAATGTCAAAAGATTCTTGTTAATTAAAGAAAACCAGACATCTCAAGTTAAGGGATTTAGCGCTTTTCTATGTATGGGAAGATGCAAGAGTCTGGGCTCACTGAAATCATTCCTTTGAGATGCACTTCAGCTCTCTGGGGCCAGTATCCTGTATTTTCACATCCTGAGTTTCCTCAGGGCTCACGGGCTCACGTTAGAGGGTTGCACTCTTTGGTGACTGTGACATCCTTTGTTTATTGATATGGCAGGAAATATTCCATTTATAAATATTCCATTTATCAAGTGGTAGAGATCAGTGAGCTGTAGGGGACATTTGCATTCATGTGACACATATTTCCTGCCTGCCATGTGCCACCACAAGGAGAAGGGACCCTGCTTTCATGGAATTTCATGGCAGTGGGAGAAGACAGAATAGAAAAAAAAGTAAAGCAATTAATAAGCAGAATGATTTAGACTTAGACTATGAAGGAAGCAGAGCGAAATACTTGTAGCTTGGGGAAGGGGAAGGAAGGTGTATCTAATTGTTGGCTGGCTGGGGAGGGCCTAAGGGAGGGGATGACAGTTGAACTAATAACAAATGTCTATGTCACGTGATACCAGAAGTGGTCCAATTCATCCAGAACCAATTTACCAAATGCCAATGTGCCAAATAAGCAATTCACTGGGTCAGCAGAACTGGCCAGATTTACCAATTTATCAAAAAACAGGTTTTATGTGAAAACCACTGATAAAATTTCATCCCATTCTCCTACTCATGCTTTTTGTAACCCAATGAGCCTTGCATTTTCCCATGCCTCAGCTCATGCCTCTGTATGCCACAGAAAATATTCACCCACCTTTCATTTCTTTTATATGTATTTGACCTTCATCAAAGTGTATGTCAAATTCAACATATCCATGAAAGCTTTCAGTTCTGAACGAAATCATGAGAAAAGTACTTATTTGGCGCTTTCATAGGAGATCACACTGAGGCAGGAGGTAGATGGGCTCCAGGCTAGACGTTTACAACTGGCCTCCTGTTCACACTTCCTGGGGGGAGAAGAAGATGGGCTCCAGGCCAGACATTCATTACCAGCCCCCTGTTTACATTTCCTGAAGCAAGAGATAAACGGACTCTAGGACTACATATTTATGACCGGACTCCTGTCTATATTTCGAGATCTGCACTTCGATATAAGAAACAGCAACAGGAGTAGGGTAAATAACCAGACATTGGACATTTTTGTGGCAGGGACGGAGTGGGACTAAATCCTGTTAAAAGATCAAGAGGTCATACATCTCTGATCCTTGGGGCAAGGGAGACATTGCACATGCGCAGAAAAGCTCCTTGGGGGTCAAAAAGGAGGGGACACCACCCCATAATATGTGATGCTAAGGTCGTCATATAAGCGTCTGGGCTGTAATCCATGTTGGAAAGAAGTTGCACACACATGTTTGGGAGGGTCCTAGGGCAGGGCAGGTGGAGAGAAAGAAACCTACTATGGATCGGGCTCTGGGGACCTTGTGGTGACCAGTTAGACAGGGATTTTGCTCCCGTGGAATGTGCATTCCAGTGTTAAAGGGATGAACATACATACATGAATCCCTCGCAGATGAGTCTTCTTCTGGGTTGAGATGGACTCATGCTGTCACAAAGGAGACGACTTGCAGACGGAGCTAGAATTGGTCCAGAACTTGGAGGTCAGGGGAGGGGGATATTCTGGAAGCACCCTGTCTTAAGTTAGAATCTATGTTTCTTTGTCGTTACTGGGAGATGGACACTATTTAGGATTAAGTGGTGGAGGTAGGGGGTGGCTTCCTAAAACTCCAACACTGCAAAAAACTGTATTGGGGGAAGCTGATTGGGTTGCTGTTAGAATAAAGAACGACGAGGAATATGGGAAGGTCCCTAGCACAGTGCCAGCGTGCAGTAAGATTACAGTAAATAAAACTTCAAAATACATCCCATCCCATTTTTCTCTCCTTCTCCACAGCCACCATCATCTCTTGCAACATCACCGTAACCAGCCCCCCCGCTTATGTCCTTACTTCCTGAAGGCTATTCTCAACACAGCAGCTGGAGGGATTCCTATGACAGCTATAGTCAGAGCATGTCCTTCTGTTCACCACCTTCCAATGTTCTCATGTCACCCAGGGTAAAACCAAAGTCTTCAACAGTCTCCAGGACGCACCTGAGCTTCCACCTCTTCCTTTATTGACCTTGTTCTCTACTCTAGGTCTCTCTAGTGAAAGACATTGGCCTCCCTGCTAGTTCACTAACCACGTCCAACACTCTCCTGCCTCAGGACCCTAGCACCTGCTGTTCCCTCTGCCTGGAAAATTTTCTCCCAGATACTAAATAGCTCACTCCTTCTTCAAGTTATTGATAGAAGTACCCTTTTTAATGGGACCTTCCCTGACAACCTTTTTTAAATAGAAACACTCCTCCCATGTTTTCTACCCTCCCCTGATTTTTCATAGCAGTTATTACCTTTTATTTTATGAGTGATAATCTACATATTACTCTATTATGTATGTTATGATACTCCTTGGTATACTGTTTTTTATTGTATATATTATACTATGTATGACACATATATAATGTATAATATTTGTTGATTGACTCCGCTTCTCCCCACACCTGTCCCCCACCCCTTATCTCTTGTTGACAGAGGGCAGGAATTTCGCCTCGCTCTGTGTTGTATCTGCAAAGCCCGCACAGTGTCCGGTACCCAGCAGGCGCTCGGTAAATAAGGGCAGGAAGAATAAATCAATCGTGAATGAATGAACACATGAACGAGCCTGCAGCCTCTGGCTCTTGCCCTCCGGCGCTGCTTTAACCCCTTCGCTCTCCAGGTGAGGTCGGGGAGCCCGGGCCCAACGCGCCTGCGCAGCCCCACCGGGTCGGCGGGCTCAGGCTCTAGTCCCGGCGGCGGCAGCACTCCTTTGCGAGGCGCGGCGCCCGCGGAGGGTTACATTCGGGGCGGGCCCGGACAGCCGAACGGCGGGACCTTCGGGGGCGGGGCTTGCTGAGAGTCCAGTTAGGGCTGCATCTCCTTTAAAAGTTGATCCACGTCGGCCGCTCCGCTCAGCCCGGTGTCTCGCGGCCCGGTCCCCATCCCCGCGCAGGCCCGGCCTTTCCGCCGGTCGTCCCCGTCGCAGCCATGTCCAAGGAGCCGCGGGGTGGGCGGGAGGAGATCCTGGAGTGCCAGGTGATGTGGGAGCCTGACAGCAAGAAGAACACGCAGATGGACCGCTTCCGGGCGGTCGTGGGCGCTGCCTACGGCCTGGCGCTGGGTGAGTGCGGGGCGCGCGTCCTGGGGGCTCCCCGGCCACCTCCCGGGGCCAGGAGCTTCCAGAAATCAGGCGCCCCCCCTTGGGGGTCCGAGGGACCACCTGACAGAGGGACCCTCCTCCTGGGGTCCCGGGCGCCGCCTTTTCCAGGGCGTTGGTGTCAGGGTCCTTTCTAGTTGTTGGAATGGTCTCCTGATTTCCAGTCTCCCTCCTCTGGGGGTTGGACGAGCCGCTGGACGGGCGGCCCCTCCCCAGGGGTGGGACATCTTCTGACTGTGCGGTTTTGCCCCCTTGTCTGTGCGGGTTGTCACCTCTTCACTGCAGCATCCATCTCCCTGAGAGTGTTCCCCATCTGGCCTTGGAACCCCTGTGGACTGAGAGGTCCCTTGCTAGGCGTTCCTACCTGTGAGGTGTGCTCCCTGGGGTCCTGCCCTCGAGCCTTGGGGGCTTCCTCCCCGACCCAGGGCCTTTCTGGCTTTTAGCTCTTCCCTTCTGTTGGTGGGGAGTCACTTGTCAGCCAACAGTACCTCGTGCTGCCCCCTCATCCCCTCCCCAGGCTGACCCTGCTAGAGGCCAGCATGGATTCTGGGCACTGGGGAGAAGGGTGGTCAGGTAGCAGTCTGCCTCTGGGATTGGGGCCGAACTCCGTCCCCTCACGTGTTTACACTCCCAGCCCCGAACCGGACCTAGTCAAGGGCCCCCCTTCCAGCTGCCACCCTGGCCTCGGGAGCCACCTGGCTGGGTGTGGACCTGGGCGAGGAGGCCCTTTTCCGGATGAGACGCTTTCCCCCCGCATCCACCTGGCTGGTCTACCTATACCTTCTTCACCCTCCCCGCCTCAGGGGTTTGCGACTCATTATGGCCCTTTCTCTCCTCTTCGGCCCCTCCGCTGGCTGCAGGGACCCCTGTGTTTCTGTTGGTGGCATCACAGTTCTCAGGGAGCCTCACAGAAATGGAGGCGTGGGCCGTCTGACTTCTTACCTCGTCCCCTTTCCAGCCCAGCGTCAGCATCTCCCCTGGGGCCCTCGTTTCCTCTGCCGTGAGCTGGCTGGTTTCCCTGCTTCCTGCTTTTCTCCCTCTGCCTTCAGTACCGCCTGCGTGCGGGCTCTGCCTGAGCAGCCTTGATGCACAGGCCCGACTCTGTCACGCCTGGGCTCCAGGGCTCACAGCGGCTCCTTGTTGACTGAGGATTTGCAAACCCTGCCGCCTGGCGGCTTCCAAGTCCTCCGCAGCACGGTGGGTGTCGTAGCCTCCACGGAGCCCCTTCCCTTGGCTAGCCCAGCTGCACCCCTCTCCCGCCCTCCTGCCCCCTGGGCGGTGAACCCCTGTAGACAGGTGTGGCTTGTTACTCGCCGGGGCCTTCTTTCAGGTAGTAGTTGGTAATGTGTGTTGGATTGGGGGATAGACTTTTTTTTTTTTTTTTTGCCGCGCCGCCCGGCTTGTGGCATCTTAGTTCCCCGACCAGGGATTGAACCCAGGCCCTCGGCAGTGAGAGCACGGAGTCCTAACCACTGGGCCACCAGGGAATTCTCTGGGGGACAGACTTGATTCCTAAGAAGAGCCAGGAGTGGAACTGCATTCTTCTGTGTTACCGTGCCGTGGTTCCGTCTCTCTTTCCTCTGCCAGCTGTTCCCCCTGCTGCTTCACAGAATGATTTCACAGAAGGGCAGTCCTGTGAGGTGCGTGAGACTGAGCTGTAATCTGACGGCCGGGATTTTGAAGTGGCTCCACCACTTACTCGCTGTGTGATCAGAAGGAAGTCACCCGACCTCCCGAGCCTTGGTTTCCTCACCTGTAAAATGGGCATAGTGAGAGGACCCGTATCACTGGGTGACAGATGATCGGGCGGAGCGCCCGCCCGCACCTGGCCTCTGGGGTTCGCTGAGTAGACACAGCTCCCCGTCTGCCTGCCCAGCTCCTCTCTGCCCTTCAAGGCTGGGACTGGTGGCCTGCGGGCCATGTCGGGCCTGCAGACTTAGTTCGGGCGGCTCACACACCGAAAGACCGCATAGGAAAAGTAAGATTTGCAGCTTCTTTTGAAAACCCAAAGGCCCGTGCTGCTGGGTCTGTGTGCTCACGTGACGGCATCAGCTGAGCTGAGTGGGGCTCCTCTCGTGGTCTGGGGGTGGCTTAGACCTTGGTGTTTTTCTTTCCTCCTCTCCCACGACTGGTGGTTAACCCCGCTGCTTCGCTCCTTTCCGCGGGCCTGGCCCCGGCCCCGGACGTTTTGGTCTTTGCTTTAAGAGCCAACTCAAATGCTGCCTTCTGTCTGATTATTCTCTCTGACCGTTTTCTCCTCTCCTCTGCTCTCCGAGTGCATGTAATTTGGACTTTCAGCCTGTCTTGCCTGTTCATTTATTTGTGAGCAGCATGTGGGATCTTAGTTCCCTGACCGGGGATCGAGCCTGTGCCCCCTGCAGTGGAAGCGTGGGGTCTTAACCACTGGACCGCCAGGGAAGTCCTCAAGTGTCTTTATACCACAAACTGCAACTCGCCTCTGCATGCCAGCATCTGGGACAGAGCTGGCCAACAAACAGAAGGCTTGGTCTCTGTTCTCCAGCAGCTCAGGTGTACTTGTGGGGAGAAGGCTCGTGCAAAGGTAGCAGCGCTGAGCAGCGGGTGTAGGGGTGCGTGCTGTCTGCCTTCTGAGCTCCGGGTCTATCAGGATGCTGTTGAAGAGGGCTGGCAGGATCTTGAGCTGAGACTTGAAGGTGTAGGCTGGTCAGAATTCTCACAGATGGAGAGGAAGGAGCAGGTGAAGTGGCCAGCGAGACTTACAAACTCGGATGCCTGCGGGGACCAGGCAGGTGACAGGGGTGTTAATAACAGCTAATGTTTAGTGAGCGCTTCCTGCACACCAGGCCCCATGCGGGAACTTCACGCGGATTAACTCACTTAATCCTCAGTAACCTGGCCAAGTAGCTGCAGCTCTGATCTCGTTTCCCAGCTGAGAAGGTGGAAGCTCAGAGTGTTGGTTGAGGCCTCGCAGCTGTGAGCCGTGGAGCTGGGCGGAGTGCTCATCACCGCCGGGTTAGGTTGCCTCTCGCGTGGGTGTGAAGGGCCAGGTGGGGCAGCTGGTAGCTGCTTCAGCTGACTGTCACCGTGTGCAGTGACAGGGCACCAGCTATCTATTGCTGCGTTGCAAACCACCCCAAGACTTAGTGACGTAAAACGACGGTAAATGTTTAGTATTTCTCAGTTTCCGCGGGCCAGGCTTCTGGGAGTGGCTTAGCTGGTGGTTCTGGCTCTGGGGCTCCCGTGGCTGCATCCATCTGTGGGCTGGGGCTGGAGGCCCACTTCCCAGGGGCCGGCTCACGTGGCAGTGAGTCAGTGCCGGTCGTGGGCGGGAGGCCTCCGTTTCACGCCGCCTAGGACTGCTTGAGTGTCCTCACAACATGGCCACTGGCTTCCTGCAGAGCAGGTGATCAAGGCGGAAGCTGCGGTGTCCTTAGGACTTTGTGACCCGGCCGGGCTCAGCGGGGGGAGGGGACGACACAGGGATGTAAATACCAGGAGGTGACACTCGTTGGCCGGCTTCCACGGCCAGACGTCCTGCCTTCTCAGGAGAAGCCAGAAATCCTGCACTTTACTTGGAAACCGGATTTAACGTCAGCCCATTCAGTTCCTGAGCATCGCGCAGACTGAACTAAACGCGCCGGTGGTCCGTCCCCCAGGCTTCCAGATCGCAGCCTGTGAGCTGGGGGGGGATGGCGGGGGACACGTGTGGGCAGAAGCCCCGGGAGCCCCTGCTCGACTGGAGAATCGTGTCGATCCCTTGTCTGAGTCGTGGACGGTGGGAAAGTTTCCGCTCGAAGCCCACCCACTCCTCCGCCGTCCGCGGGGGTCCTCGCGGTGCTGAGATGCTGCTGCGACTGCTCGCTCCCCGGGTCGGCAGGCTGGTTACATCCTCCGCCCTCCTGGATGCTGTGGTGGCGCCCTTGGTGATGATGGGCTTTCCAGGTCTTCAGGGGAGGCCCTGCGCCATCTCTCGTGTCAGCCCGGAGGAGTTTTTGGTGCTGGAGCTCTTTGCAATTTGTGAGGACCAAGGTGACATAAAAAGCACTTACATAGATTGCCTGAGGCCTCACAGCTAATACATGGCCAAGCCAGGATTTGAACCCAGGCCTTCTGGGTCCAGAGTCCATGGTTTTTAGGCATGGTGGTTAAGGTATAAAATCACCGCCTCGTGACTTTTGTTCATTTGGGGAGGAGCGGTGGTGGGTTTGCTTTCACAAACTAAGATGCCCTGCGCTCCCAAGACCCTCCCTCGTCAGGTGCCTTCGAACCCCTTAGACACACAACTCCTCAGGTGTATCCATTGTATCACTGAACCAAGACTTTCCTCCTAAGATTTGTTGGAGTCATGTGCCTTTTCTTTCTTTCTTTTTTGTTTCAGAAAATTATGATGACTTATATCATTGGTCAGTTGAGTCATATTCGGACTTCTGGGCAGAGTTCTGGAAATTCAGTGGAATTGTCTTCTCACACACGTATGATGAGGTAAGAAGAGGTTGTGCTTACACATTATCTTTTCGTGGCTCCGATCCAAAATGAAGTGTTAATTTTGAGGAAGACTAAATCATATCTTCTTTAAAATCCCCACATCAGCGGGAAACAATCATTGCCCTAGAGAGTCGGCAGGAAATTGTGTTGGGGTCACGGACCTCATGGGGACTCTGCAGGCTCCGGGCCCCCCGATGTGTGTGGACCCAGGCCTTGTCCTGGGAATCTGAGTGATCCAAAGAGTAGGGCATCGCTGTATTTTTATTTTATTAAAATTTTTTAGAACTGCGGTAAAATACACATAATACACAATTTACCATTTTATCCGTTTTAAAGTGCACAGTTCAGGGACGTTCCACACGTTCACATTTTAGAAATTTATTTGTTTTATTTATTTCTTTTTGGCCACACTGTGCGGCCTGCGGGATCTTAGTTCCCCAACCAGGGATGGACCCTGGGCCCCCCGCCGTGGATGTGTGGAGTCTCAACCACTGGACCACCAGGGAAGTCCCCATACTGTAATGGTTTTTCCTTTTTAAAATTTATTTATTTATTTATTTTTGGCTGCGTTGGGTCTTCATTGCTGCGCGTGGGCTTTCTCTAGTTGCAGCGAGTGGGAACTACTCTTTGTCGCGGTGCGCAGGCTTCTCATGGCTTCTCTTGTTGCAGAGCACGGGCTCTAGGCATGTGGGCTTCAGTAGTTGTGGCACGCGAGCTCAGTAGTTGTGGCACGCGAGCTCAGTAGTTGTGGCTCACGGGCTCTAGAGCTCAGGCTCAGTAGTTGTGGTGCACAGGCTTAGTTGCTCTGCGGCATGTGGGATCTTCCCGGACCAGGGCTCGAACCCGTGTCCTCTGCATTGGCAGGCGGATTCTCAACCACTGCACCACCAGAGAAGCCCCCTGTAATTGTTTTTTAAACTATCAGTAGTTTTGTTATTTACCTGGATTTTAGAGATTTTTATTTATTCCCTCAATAAATATCCAGGGAATAAGAAGTCTGTTGTATGTTTGGTTTGATTATGGGGTGAGCCATTCTGAAAGGTTCACCTGAAGGAGAAACCAAGGTTCCAGCCCTGATGGAGGAGGCACGGATCCAACTTCCTAAACACTGTGGCGGGGTGTCCGGTGGGCCGTGCACTTTGATCTCCTGGTTTCCATGCTCTGGTCAGCCCTGGAACATGTGGTAGCTGCCGTGTCTGTCTGTCTGTCCTTTTGTCATCAGCATCGCTCATAAAGTAGGTGCTTAATAATTAACAGACTAAACTAGTGGGGCGGAGTTCTCCCTTGGCATTAATTTTTTTTAACTTTAGTGAGGAATAATTGATACATCTAATTTGTTTTTTTTATTTGGTTGTGCTGGGTCTTAGTAATGGCAGGTGTGCTCCTTAGTTGCAGCATGCGAACTCTTAGTTGCGGCATGCGTGTGGGATCCAGTTCCCTGAGATTGAACCCGGGGCCCCTGCATAGGGAGCACGGAGTCTTAACCACTGCACCACCAGGGAGGTCCTGATACATATAATTGTATCTATTTCAAGTGTACACGTGAATGATTTGATATACATATGCCTTGCAGAATGAGTATCAAGTTAACTGACACATCCGTCACCTCACACAGTTACCTTTTTCTTTTTTTTTTTTTGTGGTGAGAATGCTTGAGATCTACTCTCAGCAAGTGTCAGGTACACAATATCGCATTCATTTCTGTTTTCAGTTTCAAGCCTTTGGGCCAGGTCAGCGTTCAGTCTGTATAGCGACCTAGTGATGCCTTGGGCCGGCGAGTTAGCTGGCCTCCTGTGACGCGGAATCCCTTCTCTGCATCTGATGTTGCTCTCGCGCATGTGTGTGTCTTGGTTTGCTGCCGTCCTCTGTAGGTCGTGGACACGTCCAAAGGGATTGCGGACGTCCCCGAGTGGTTCAAAGGCAGTCGCCTCAACTACGCAGAAAACCTCCTGCGACACAGGGAAAATGACGGAGTGGCCCTTTACGTGGCACGTGAGTCCCGACAGCTACTCGGATTTTCCTCTCTTAGTGTGACGGGGCCACGTGTTCAGAGAGGCTCTGAAGCACTCAGAACCTGCAGCATGTGATCCCAAACAATAGCTCGGCACTTTTTTTTTTTTTTGGGGTGACAAACACAAAACACTAACTTTACCATCTTGACCACTTTTAAACGTACAGCTCAGTGGTGTTAAGCATGTTCACATTGTTGTGCAGTAGATCCCTGGAACTTCTTCACTGAAGCTCTGTACCCACTAAACACTGATTTCCCCGTCTCCTCCCCCAGGCCTTGGAAAATTATATTAAAAAAATCACAACCCAATCAAAGGATTCTGGGCGTGCGTCTCAAGGATGCCCTTTCCCAAGCCTTTCTTTTCCGGAACGTCGGGTAAACCTGCATCTGGTTTGCATCCCGTGCACCTGTGTAGCGTCTCCTGGGCGCGTATCTCTAACCTGTGTTTGAACAGGTGTGAGTTTTCATCCGTGTCTGTGACTCAGAACCTCTCTTTTTAGGATGGTCCGAGGATGACCTGTCCTTTTTCTCTTCCCAGGGGAAGGCAGGGAGGAGATCGTGAAGGTGAGTTTTGAAGAGCTGCGGCGACAGGTGGCTTTGTACGCCGCGGCGATGAGGAAGATGGGCGTGAGGAGAGGAGACCGGGTCGTCGGTGGGTACTTCTGGTGCCTGTCACAGTGGGGGCAGGGGAGTGGCTTGGAAGGAATGAGGTGGCGTCGGGTCAGATTGCACGCACACGGCTTCGCGTGTGTACACGTGCGACACAAACCAGACGAAGAGGGACGATCGTTGCGAGTGCAGCCCAGCCAGAGTGAGCTGGGCTGTGAGGGTCCCCGGCTCCCGGCCTCCATGTGGGCACGTCCTCCTGAGCCAGTGCTCACAGACGTCTACATTATTATTAATAATAATTTTTTAATGGATTAGTTATTATTTTTTTTAATGAAATGTGGTCCTTAAACTAAACACAAACCAGAAAGTTCATCAGGTCCTTGATGACAAAGCCAGGACCCCTTCCAGGGTCGGGAGAAGCTGCTGCACTTTCTGGGTCTGCCCACCTCCAACTCGATGCTTTCCTGAGGAATTCCTGAGGGCTGGTTTCCATTCTGTGATATTCGCCATCTGTGCTGACATGATTGTAGACTGATGCCTAACCCTCAAAACCCAGCAGAGGGAGTTTTATCAGTGGAGAGACTCACTAGACTGATTTCCTCTGACCCACAGACGCCAGGGCAGGCGCCACCAGCCTGCTTGTTTCCCAGATGAAAAACTGAGGCCCAGAAGAGAAAAGTAAACTAATCATTTTTTTTTTTTAAACTTGGAAAGAACTTTATTAAAAAAACGGGTGTTGATTTAAACAGTATAGACAATTTCAGTTCATAAGGTCGTTAACTGAAAGTACGTGGATATACTCAGCCTCTGGAGATAATAAAGAGACGGTTACTTTTTCTCGGCCGAGCCACTTGTGGGATCTCAGTTCCCTGACCAGGGATTGAACTTGGGCCCTCGGCAGTGAAAGTGCAGAGTCCTAACCACTCGACTGCCAGGAAGTTCCCTGAGAGTTAGTGAGGCATGAAATTTGATAGCAGGACACTTCATCGCACGTCTGTCAGACGATGAGTTGTAATTATTTGGTGCTGCGATACGGCAGCGTGCGCCTGGGCCCGAGTGTCCTGCTGCCCGGCTGGTGGCCCTAGGCCACACTGCTCCTTGGGATCCCCACCTGGGCCTCCTCACTCAGTGCGGCTTCTTCCACTTAGTTCTTCCTGGTGAGACCTTGTTTAGCAGCATCCACTCCCTGGAGTCAGGAGACCTTCCCTCGGTGCCTGGCGCTGCCTTTGGGCCTGTGGGTTTGGATGACTTTCTCCTCCCTGGACCTCGAGTTTCTGCATCTTTAAACAGGGCAGCAGAGAGGCTGAGGGGCTTGTTATGCAGAGTCTCCCGTGGGCAGAGAAGTTAGGTGGGCTTTCTCGGCCCTGCCCATCCACACGCACCCCGGGAGGGGCTGGTGACAATGACGGATGTGTCCAGAGGCGGTTCCCAGTCTGGGTCCGGCCGGGGTTCTGTGTGCTTTTTGCTGCCGTGCTGGGGTCAGAGTTTAAATTGCTCCTTCCAGGATCAGGCATCAGATCTTATTCTTAAACCAAAGAAGAGGGCTTCTCCGTCCCCTGGCCGCACGACTTCGCTCGTGGCATAAACCCCAGGGGCATCGATGGTGTCCGTCCCCTGCTTGGAGGCTCGCTGACCCCCGCTGCCTCCAGGGTGGGGATGAGAACCTGCAGCTGGGTCGGCGGCCCTGCGCGCTCGCTTCCTTCCTGCCTCTGCACTCCCCTCCCGGCCCCTGTCCTCCTAAGGGGGTCCGGCAGAGCCTTTGTTGGGAAGCCGGCCTCCGCCCCGCCTGCCCCCAGCTCTGTCCCCAGATGGCCTCACTCAGGGAAGCCCCCTGGTTGCCCCTGAGCCAGGCCCTCCTGTTGGACCCTCTGTCAGCATCTCGTTTTCATTCTTCAAAGGATGCATCATTGGTAGTTACCTGTTTGGTTGTGTGATTATTTGAGCATCAGTCTCCTTTGTTTGGCTCTAAAACCCATGAGGCCAGGGGGTCTGGCTGCTGGGCTGCCCTCCCCACCTCCGGGGGCCATGGGACCAGGGCTGCAGGCCGGGCCGTCAGCAGGAGAAGCCACCGGCATGTTGGCGTGACCGTGCCTCTCCCGTGGGACTCACTGCAAGTGGGCGCTCGGCGTGTGTTTGCAAAGAGGGCAGCCTTACCCTGTGTAAACCATGTGAAGGGGCCAGACCCCGAGTGTCCTTCTCAGATGATGGAGCTGGGCATGGAGCGACCGCTCACTGTGTTACTTGACTGGAGAGGAATGAATAGTAAAGGATGGGTAGGGGATGTGCCGCATGATCGCCTGTCTCGGCCCTGGATGGAATGTTCTACAGATCCAAGGGTTCACCCTGGTTCATTGAGGTCTCTGCTCAGAAGCTGTCCGTGCTGTCCTGTGGAAAAATCCTTCACCACTCTCTCTGCACCCCGCTTTATTTTCCTTTGTCGCCTGCTGCCTCCTTGAAATCACAGGATTATTCGTGAGTGTGTGCGTGTGTGTGTGCACGTCTGTCTGTCCTCCAGTACCAGAGGATGGGGCTTTGTCTTCTGTTCACTGCTGCATCTCAGTCTGTGGGTACCTGGCGCATAGTAGGTGTATAACGAGTGTTTATTGGATGAATGCATGAGAGTGCTGGGTCAGAGCAGGCATTTTTGTGGTTAAAACCTCAATATCTTGGGTTCTTTGTGGGCCAATTTAATTTGTCTAGAAAAGGAATTCAAAAGGTTCTTCTACCTTCCAGTAATTTTTCTTCCCTCCAATTTTCATTTTTAAAAATCTCCCTTTGAAGCAAATGTTTCTTGAGAAGGAGAAACGGAGAACAGGACATCCTGGGGCTGCCGCTTGGCTGTGCTTACGTGGGGGACGCCTGCTCCGTTGCCCTTCACTCCTCAGAATCAGGCTTGTGCTTGGTGACACCCCCTTCCTGAGTGCCACATCTTGGATTCTAATTTGACCTGATCACAGTTACTAGGACAGGGGACTGTGTTTCCCAGAAGAGAGCGCTAGGGAAGAGTGCAGAGGGGGATTGAATGGGGAGATGCTCGGAGGCCTTCAGAGATGCGGTTACAGCTGCTCACTGCTCACGGCGCTGTTCCTTGTCTGTGAAGCGGGCGTCTCCTGGCTGCGTGTCAGTCCCCACAGCCAGCAGGTCACCCAGCCTCCCTGGGTGGTGAGTCCCGCCCTGCCTGGGGCGATGGCACCGTGGAGACACCTCAGTACGCTCACAGCCAAGTCTCTTCTCGGCAGCCGACATCCGTCCGCGGGCCTGCTGTGTGCCAGGGCTGGGCGGGGCCCGGGGGCCGTGGGAGCAATGCACGACCCCTGCCCCACGGGACACCCTGCAGGGAAGATGCCGTGAACCCAAAGAAACGAAGTCCCCACCGCTGTGGTCAAGTAGGCCGTCCAGAGCCATGGGAGGAGGGGCAGCGGGAGAGCTGTTCAGGGCACCACGGGGTGCTGGAGCCCAGAGGGCTTTCGTGTCGCCCAGGGAGGGAGCCGTGCTCAGGGCAGGCCCTGGACCTGCTCCCTGGTGCCTTGTGCACGAATCCTTTTCCCTCTGAGCATTTAGGACGGTCTGATCGCAGTCTTTTCGTCCATAAAGAGTCTCTGCCTCTATTATCATAAAAGCCCAGAGGACTTCCCTGGGGGTCCAGTGGGGAAGGCTCCATGCTTCCACTGCAGGGGGCCTGGGTTCGATCCCTGGTCGCAGGCCAAGTGGTGCGGCCAAAAGACCAAACCAAACAAAACTCAGCTTCCTACTAGATGGAAGGCTGAGTCCCTTGCAGGACTGTATATGTCTTGACTGGTCTGCTCAGTCTTCATTCCCCTGCAGCCTCTCCTTCCCTCCCTCCATCCAAGCATCCTCCCACCAGCCGGCCAGTAGACCAATATCTGCGGACCTTGATCTGCAGGGCATACCAAAAGGCATTTGGTAAAGCAGGGAGCGAGACAGGCAACGTCCCTGCCCTCACGAGAGAACCAGATATGAACTTGCCAGTTATGATTATACTTAGGTGATTATTATGCTAGATCTGGTGAGGGAGAAATACGGTGTGCTTTTTGGGTGACTGGCATGGGGACCTGAGTTCTTGGGGTGGCCTTGGAGAAGGCTTCCCTGAGGGAGTTCCATTTGCCTTTGGAGCTGAAGGATGAGTAGGGGGGGCTGGTGTGGGTGGAAGTGTCCAGGCAACGCAGGCAGCTTGTGCAAAGGCCCTGAGGCAGGGGGAGCTTAGAACTGAAGGGAGGCTGTTGTGACCGAGCCCACAGTGGGAGGTGGAACGGAGCGAGGAGAGGCCAGGATCGTGTAGGGATCCCTGATCAGAATGCGTCGGAGGGGGTGATGACAGGAAGCGGTCAGGCTGGCGGCAGTGATCGGGTCATCTGAGCAGATGTCAAGGTGGTTGGGTTGGGCCTCGCCCTGCTCTGTGAGCCGCTCACAGCCAGCCCTTCTCCCCACTCCCACCGTGACTCCGGGAGGTGCTTCTGGAAGTCCCGGCATCCTCACACCCTGAGCCAAGCTTTCTCCCTGTGTCCCACCCACAGGTTATTTACCCAACAGTGCGCACGCCGTGGAGGCCATGCTGGCGGCCACGAGCATTGGCGCCATCTGGAGCTCCACGTCCCCAGACTTCGGCGTGAACGTGAGTCGGGGTCCCCTCAAGTGCCCTGGGTGTGCGGCCCCCGCAGGGGAACATTCCATGTGATTTCCCCATGACATCTTGGGTCGGGGTGTGGGCAGCTGCGGGGCAGGACCAGCCAGGCTGGGAGGAAACGGTGTCACGATGGCCTCCCGTCTCCCCGGCTGGTGACTCGCAATCAGCAGGAGAGAAGGAGCCAGAAGTAGTGGGATCTCTCTAAGTGTAAAAGTGAACGATCCTGGCTTCCTTTCCAATGTTCCCCACACCCAGCCGTGTGCGTTGTGCGTTAGCGTGTGTTACGTGCGACAGGCGGTGTTGCGAGTATCCAGCAGGAGACGCCCGGCCCCGGCTCCTGTGACTTCACGACCACGTGAGGTTTTCTGATGTCCGTCGTCTGCAGGTTTGCTCGTGGAAGGTTTGCTTACGGAGAGTTTGCTCCATAATCGCCGTTTCTGACCCCTTCCTTTGGGGCTGAGCTTTGTGCTCTGTGCGGGAGGGCGGCGGGCCTCTTTATCCCCGTAAGCCCCAGGGGCACCAGGGCCCAGGGTGCGCCAGCTGTGGCATGGCCCAGGCAAGGCAGGAAGCACGCACTGAGCCCCACATGGGGAAGGAGGAAGCAGCAGAGCAGGACTTACTGGGACCCCCACTTCCTGATCAGGGACCTTTCCTGGTTGCAGAACCTCGGGGATGAGGGACCCTCAGGAGCCACGAGGCCGGGCCTGTTAGAGGACATGCCGGGCATCACGTCCCTGACCGTTCTTCCTCTGCTCTGGGCGTGGCCCCTGTGCTGGGCGCTGGTCAGTGCAGCCCAGGGTCTAAGGGCTGGCCTGGCTTTGCTGGCCGTGCATCCCTGGGTGAGTTATTTATCCTCACGTGCAAAGCAGGGGCATCAGGAAGAGAGAGTCTCATGATACGAGCGTAGACTGCGTGGGCCTGTGATTGACGCGGGAGGATTGATACACTTAGGATACAGGTGCAGGGACGGCGCTGTTCCGGCTCCGTGCTCTGCGGTCCATGTGCCTTGTCCACAGGCTGGGCATTTTGGGTGTGAGCTTGATACTCAACCTCTGCCTTGAGGCTTGCTCTTCTGGAAGAGGTTTTCAAGGTATTTCTTTGCTTTTTGAAAATATTTATTTATTTATTTGGCTGCACCGGGTCTTAGTTGTGGCATGCGGGATCTTCGTTGCGGCACGCGGGATCTTCGCTGCGGCACGCGGGATCTTCGTTGCGGCACGCGGGATCTTTTTAGTTGCGGCAGGTGGGATCTAGTTCCCTGACCAGTGATCAAACCTGGGCCCCCTGCATTGGGAACGCGAAGTCTTAACTGCTGGACCACCAGGGAGGTCTCTCAAGGTATTTCTCATTTCCTCCCACACCGTGCGGAGGAGGGACAGACGTGCTTCTGCAACACAGAGGCCTGGAGCAGTGAGGCGATTGGCTGAGGCCGGCCCTGGCCCCATGGGTTGAGGACTGGGCCCTGCTGAGTTCTGGGAGGGGGTGGTCACCCCAGACCTCACTGCTGGTGGCCGTGGTTGTGCCTCCTGGGGCTTTGCTGGGCCTCTCCCAGATCGCCTCCACCCCTGACCACCCAGGGCAGGCAGGACTGACCTGAGCCTGGAGCTCCAGGGGGCCTCTTGGTCCCCAAGGCCCTCTGTGAGGCCGTGTGAGCTGCTTGGGACCAGGCCATCCTCGGGGGAGGGCGGGTCCTGGAGGGTTGGGACCCGGTCCCTGGGCGCTGTTGTCCTTGGATCCCTCAGCGGGCCTTGAGCTGCGCTGCCGGGAGGCGGTGAAGGAGCCTCGGGGCTGGAGAAGGCATGTGGCGTGGAGGTTACCAGCAGGCAGGCTCTTGCCTGGGTTTGAATCCGCCTCTGCCGCTTCCTGTCTCTGTGTCCTCGGGGACACACTGTAGGAGGGCTTGTGAGGGCAACACCATTGACACCCATCTGGGGTTGGGACAGCGCTCAGACCTACCCCCCAAGCTCGGTGAACGTCAGCTGCTCCTAATGAGGAGGGAGTGGGTGTTTTTGAGTGAATTGGAACTTGGAAGCAGTTGTGATGTTGGAGGAGCATTGTGCAGCATGGCAGCGTGGGCGTGGCCTTCTAGGGCCCGAACGAAGCCCCTGCCTGAGTGCTTTACAGAGAGCAGAGCTCCTGGGTTGGCCTCGGGTGGTGGGTCTGAGCCAGCTGGTGCAGGGCGGAAGGCTTAGGGGACGGGCTGGGGCCCAGCCGCCTCCTGCTTGCCTGTAGCATCAGCAGCTGGCCTTGACCCTGCGCACATCCTCGTGGGTCTGTCTTGTGCACAATGTCACCACCGCAGGCCACTGTGGGTGACTCTGGTCCCAGGTCCTGTTGTGCAGAGGATGCAGCCAGTGCTGGCTCTGGAGCGGCATCCCTGGCGTTCCTTCCCTGGTTCGAGGCTGGTTCGGGTTTTCCAGGGTGGCGGCTCTCGTTGGAAGCGCACACGCACTAGATGGCAGCCTGGCTCCGCCCTGACCACGGCCTTCAGCACGGTTGCTTGCGGGAGATCTTTGAGGGCGTGATGGCCTGGGCCTCAGGAGAGCCCTCTATTCGGTCAGAAAGTGACAGGGCCAAACGCCGTTCTACTAAGATGCTTCGATCTGCCCTGAGTTCTGGGAAGCGGTCCTCGTTTTGCTGGGACCCTGGTGTAGAGCCAGAGGCAGGTAGCCGTGTGCGCGATCCTTTGGAGTGATTGTTGAGCAGTGAATGACGGTTAGCGCATCAGCCTGGTGACTTGAGGGCCCCCGGCTGCTGGTACCACCTGCCAGCTCCCAGGGCTGAGCCCTCCTGGCCGGAAGCCCTGGTCCGGGTCACGAGGCACAGTGCTTGCTCACATGCATCCCTGGAGATGCAGCTGTGCCCTTGGCTGCTGGAGGATTTTGCCTTTTGGATGAACAATGACGACTCTTTCCTTCCACTCTAGGGCGTTCTGGACCGGTTTTCTCAGATTCAGCCAAAGCTCATCTTCTCCGTGGAGGCCGTCGTGTACAATGGCAAGGAGCACGACCACGTGGACAAGCTGCAGCAGGTCGTTAGAGGTGCGTGGGCTGGTGTGGGGGGCAGGGGGCAGGGGTGAGAGCCCCCCCAGGGGTCCCAAGAGCCCTGCAAAAACGGAGTAGTCTCAGTCCTAGGTTGTGTTACGTTTCAGCAAAAAAGAAAAAGATTAGCGGCTAGGTATGTTGTGTCCTGTAAGCTTGTGTTTTCTCCTCCCCGCCGCTTTCAGGACTAGCAGACCTGAAAAAAGTGGTGGTGATTCCTTACGTTTCCTCCAGAGAGAAGATAGACATTTCCAAGATTCCAAATAGGTAAGCCAGCCGCATGCTGATCACTGGTTGCATGTGAAACCCACTCAGGGTCCCAGCCGGGCTGCAGGTTCTGTGGATCTTTGCACTTGGGGTTGGAGTGTTTCAGAGGTGCAAGATGTCTTGGTTAAAAATCGTCATTCTGTAGATGGGGAATCCCTTGGGGCCACGTGGTAACTTAGTGGCAGAACAGAGACTGTCCCAGGCATCCTAACTCTTCCTGTCTCGTGTCCCTTGGAAGTGGTGGGCTTGGATGGGGCCAGGCTGGCTCCCCGGGTTGGCCACAGCAGTTCTGAACAGTGACTCATGTGTATCCACAGGTGCGCATGTGTGTGGATGTGCGTATGTGCACACACACGCGTACACCTCTGTGTACGTGGTTCATACGTATGTGTATTTGTATGCATGTGTGTATACACACGCAGCCACACAAAGGTATACACGTACGTAATATGTGGGGTTTTTCTTTCATTTTACAACCTATTTTTTGTTGCCATTGCTCACGGCATCTTCCTTTGCTTTTCTGACGTTTATAAGCCGATAGGCCACAGGCCTTGACGTGGAACAGAATGGTGAGCACCTGCATTCTGAACAGAAGTTAAGCAAGTGGATCATGGTTTGGTCCAAGTTGAGATTCTTCCCAAAGTTCTTGTTACACACCTTTCATCTCTCCGTAAGCCATCACAGAGGGGCGAGCTCTGAGGTCGGGCGTGTTTACCTGCGCAGGTAAACCTGTCCACTTAGCCTCGCGTCTGGGCTGCAGGCAGGAGTCTCTGAGTGGCCCCAGGCCCCACGAGAAGCGGCGGCAGAGCCGCAGGTGGGGATCCTGGGTGTGCCGTGGCGGGGAAGGAGGCGGCGAGGAGGCCTTGCTACTCAGGCAGACGGGGTGGACGCGTGGCTGAGCGGCGCTGTGCAGGCGCCCTCCGGGGGGCACGGAGGGGGCTAAAGCTCATGTGCTGTCCCCCGCGTTTACAGTCGAGCTGGGGGGACAAGACACGCCCGCAGGAAGGGGGAGCTGTGACCGCTCGGCCCAGTAGACACAGCCATGCTCACTGAGTTGGGGACAGGAAGTGCCCAGGAGGTGAGAGAAGGGCGTGGTTGCTTCTCTGTGGGGCCTGGGGGAGGTGACAGCCGAGGGACCTTGAGAGGTGAGCAGGGTCTGGGGACAGCTGCAGTACCAGGGCTCCAGAGGCTGAAGGGAGCTGCGGCAAAGTGGCTGTTCCTCTAAGGCCATGGTCTCGAGCCACACTGCCCGGGGTCAGATCTCAGCTGTGTGGCTCTGGGCCAGTGATCAACCTCTCTGTGCCTTGTTTTCCCCATCTGTAGAACGGGGACAACAGTACCTTCCTCGCAGGCTCAGCAGTGTGCATGAAGTTAGCTCTCAGGAACGTCGTCTGTCATTATGGGCAGGTGACAGCTGCAGGCCAGAGTGGGCTGTGTCCTCTGGAGCATCCGGGTCAGGATGTGCCGGTCCTTACAGGCAGGTCCGGGGGCGTGGCCTGTCCCCTAGACTGTGGGAACCCTGCCGACCTTGATAAATTACACCCCTGCCGTGAACATAGCTCCCCTGGTTTTATTGATGGGGCCGTACGCACAAAGGCCAGGAGGAAAACAGGACGGTTTGCTGGCCCCGCGGTGGCCCGGCTTTTATTTTTCTGAATGTGTTCGTTGGTGACTGATAGAAAGTGAGGGCATCCAGAGGTGACGTTAACCACCTGGTTTAGCTTCAGGCAGTGCGCAGAGCTCCGCAGCCCCGGTGCCCCCCTCCCGGGGAAGCAGGCCCCCAGCGCTCTCCAGCCTTTGACTCCTGGGCGCCGCAGATAAGCCGAAAGCGCCCCTGCGCGTCTGTGGGGGGACTGCCCTTTGGGTTTTTCCTTTTGAGAAGAAGCAACAAAAGTAATCGCTGTTTACTGTGATTTATACACCGATGGAGAGAAAACGTTTTTCTCCGTGTGGAGCATTCGACTCGATTGGGCCCTTTGTGTAAATGGGACTCGGATGGGAGGTGGAGGCGGACTGGGGCTCTCATTGGCTGGAAGGCTCCACGGTGAATAATCTTCCTGCCGCTCTGGAGAGGAAGGGTCTGCTTGTTTACCGCTCAGAATTATTTGGGGTGCCCATTTCAAATGGCCGCACCTCCCCCAGGAGACATCCTCATCTTTTCTTTTGTTTAAAGATTTATTTTTATGTGTTTATTTATTTATTTTGGCCTCGCTGGGTCTTAGATGCAGCGTGTGGGATCTTCGTTGAGGCATTTGGGGTCTCTCAGTTGCGGCATGCATGCGGGATCTAGTTCCCCGACCAGGGATCGAACGCAGGCCCCCTGCATTGGGAGTGCGGAGTCTTACCCACTAGACCACCAGGGAAGTCCCACATCCTCATCTTTAAGGGGGCCTTTCCATGCAAGACAGCACACTTCTTCACTTTCGGGTGCATCCGTTTGTATTTCAGAGTAATTCTCCTTGGCAGTTGGCTGCAGGCCGCGTTTAACTGACTTCTCCCCCTTCCTTGAAAGAAAGTTCCGTTTGACAAAGCAGTAGTTTCGATTTTTCCCCTTTCTTCTCCCTTCTAAACCAGTGGAGGAACAGGGCCGGGGTTTTGGAATCGATGTTTCCGCCGATCTCAAACTAGAGAAACCGCCTCTCTCCCAAGGTGGCTTTGTGGCTTCCGCTACCCTGTTTCTGCTCAGAAAACAGCCCCTTCGGCGGTTCTTGGTGATGTGCAGTGCGCTTTACGGCAGCTCTGGGGGCAGGGCAGGGCAGGCTGTTCAGGCTGGAGCCAGTAGCTGGGCTGAATTGTATTTGTTCCTGGACAGATACTTGCATCTGGCCGTTGTAAACCTCAGGATACAGGGAAGCAGTGAGAACAATTGCCCCGCAGGTTGGCACCGCTTTCTGGCTGTGCCCTTCAGGTGTCAGAAGAGCTTATAACCCGGCACCTCCTCCCCCCTTCTCCTGGGGGGAAAGGGAAGGACTCAGGCACCCTGGGCTCTAGCTTGCCTTTGGGGAACCTGGGGAAACCAGGCATCTGCTAATCAGAAGGTTAGTAGCAAACGGGAGGTGCGCCTGGGCTCCAGGGACTTGAGCATCACCTCAGAGCCCCTCCCGGAGTTTGCGTACAAGCAGCCAACGTGTTAAATGCAAGGGGTCCTCCTCCACAGTGCTTATTAAAGCGCTTAGATTCTCTGGAGAGACAGCCTCGGCCCCATCAGCAGTGCTAATAAAGCCACCGGAAATTTTCGGGACTTCCCTGGTGGTCCAGTGGCTAAGACTCCAAGCTCCTAATGCAGGGGGCCCGGGTTTCATTCCTGGTCGGGAACTAGATCCCGCATGCCTGCCGCGACTAAGACCCAGAGCAGCCAAAATAAATAAATCAATATTAAGAAAAAGAAAAAAGCAACCGGAAATTTTCACTCAGTTACTTTTTATTCAATTAGCATGAATCCTTGAGCCCCGACTTCTCCCTTCTCTCTTGGGAAGCTTCCAGACAAGGCAGGTCCCTGGAATCTAGGTCGTCACCCAGGTAGACGTGGCGGGGGGTGAACGGGAGGACTCGACAGATTTCCGCACCCCCGCCCCGCCAGGCGTTCTAGAACCTTCACCGTTTGTCTCCTGCGCCTTTTTGCCCACAGCGTGTTCCTGGAGGACTTCCTGGCCACTGGGCAAGGTGCGCAAGCCCCTCAGCTGGAGTTCGAGCAGCTGCCCTTCAGCCACCCGCTCTTCATCATGTTTTCGTCGGGCACGACCGGAGCGCCCAAGTGCATGGTGCACTCGGTCGGGGTAGGTCTGCACCCCATCCCTGCCTGGGGGCTTCCTGCTGGCTAGGGCGGCACCCCGTCCCCACTCTCCAGGTGGGGTGCTGCGCCGAGATCCGGCCTCGAGCCGGGCGGTGGGGGGCTGCTGCCCCAGCTACCGTGGCCCCGTCGCCACGGGGTCCCGGGACTCCACAGCGCCACCAGGGCAAGGCCTGCGCCGGGCGAGCCGGTGACAGTCATGCTATACGTCATGACCCCTTAGGGTATTGTGAGTCCAACAGATGGGCCCTGCCCGCATTTTATTTTATTTATTTATTTTTAAATTAATTTTTCTTGGAGTAGAATTGCTTTACGATGTTGTGTTAGTTTCTGCTGTACAGCAAAGTAAATCAGTTATACATATATCCCCTCTCTTTTGGATTTCCTTCCCATTTAGGTCACCACAGTGCACTGAGTAGAGTTCCCTGTGCTCTACAGTAGGTTCTCATCAGTTATCTATTTTATACATAGTATCAATAGTGTATGTGTGTCAGTTCCAATCTCCCAATTCCTCCCCCCCCCGCCCCCTTTTCCCCCTTGGTGTCCATACGTTTGTTCTCTGTGTCTGTGTCTCTATTTCTGCTTTGCGAACAAGATCATCTGTACCATTTTTCTAGATTCCACATTTGTGCGTTAATATACGATGTTTGTTTTTCTCTTTGTGCCTCACTTCACTCTGTATAACAGTCTCTAGGTCCATCCACGTCTCTACAAATGACCTAATTTCATTCCTTTTTATGGCCTAGTAATATTCCATGGTATACATGTACCATTTCTTCTTTATCCACTCCTCTGTCGATGGACACTTAGGTTGCTTCCATGCCCGGGCTATTGTAAATAGTGCTGCAGTGAACATTGGGGTGCATGTGTCTTTTTGAATTATGGTTTTCGCTGGATATATGCCCAGGAGTGGGATTGCTGGGTCATATGGTAGTTCTATTTTTAGTTTTTTAAGGACATCCATACTGTTCTCCATAGTGGCTGTATCAGTTTACATTCCCACCAACAGTGCAAGAGGGTTCCCTTTTCTCCACACCCTCTCCAGCATTTGTTGTTTGTAGATTGTGGTGATCGCCATTATGACCATGTGAGCTGATACCTCATTGTAGTTTTGCTTTGCATTTCTCTAATTAGTGATGGTGAACATCTTTTCATGTGTTTTTTGGCCATCTGCCGGCGTTTTAAACAGAAGGAAACAGGTTAGGTGAGAAGAGAAGATATCAGCTCATCAAGGGTCCTAAGAGGTGTTGGTGTGTTTTCTCAAAGCTGTCATGTAAGCGTGGGTACGGACGGTGCACGTGCCAGGCAGCGTTGCCAAACTTCTGTCTGACCGTGGGCTGGGGTCAAAAAGTTTGAAAGCCGCCGGGTTATGTTATAAAGTGCGGTTAACCGAGGGAGGACTTACCGTGCTGTGTGAGTCAGCTTGGGCTGCCGTAGCAAAATAGCACGGGCTGAGGCGGGTCTTAAACAACGAAGATTTACTTCCTTGCGGCTCTGGAGGCTGGGGGTCCAAGACCGGGGTGTGGGCAGGGTTGGTTCCCTCTGAGCCTCTGTCGTCGGCTCGCAGGGGGCTGCCTTCTCGCTCTGTCCTCACGCGCTCTTTCCTCTCTGCACGCACATTCCCGGCGTCTCTTTGGGGTCTAATTTTCCTCTCTTCGTAAGGACATCCATCGCGGTGGACGAGCGCCCACCCTATCGGCCTCGTTTTAACCTCCTCCCCTCTAGGAGGCCCGAGGATTATCTGAGTGGAGAAACCTCACATTGTCTAAGAGCCTTCTAGCCATCGCTTGGTCAGATGGCGGTATTTGAACATGAAATACGGAATTTCTTTTATTCCAGCTCATTCAGCTTTCACAGCTGTTCTCTGCTAGGACATCTAGAAGCTGTTTGAACCCCTGCCGTAGAATCACTCTAACGTCTTCATACAGCTCTTTACACCGTGTTCTCATGAGAACGTGGAAAGAGGTTAACACAACTTTGTCATCACCTGGATTTGCATCCAAGGAAGATCCGATGGCAGGTTAGGAATGATAACCGCCAGAGACACACGAGCCTGTTCACAGACAGTGGGTGACTTCTCAGGAACCACGGAGTGGGAGGGAGGGGACATCGGGGGCCAAAGCCTTGATTTCTGGAAGAGTGGCCTCTTTGTAGGAGCAAGTGCTTGTTGCTTACCAGCCTGTTTTATCACACTGGGTCGGGCGTGTTCATAGCTGCTGGCATCGCGTTTTGCCTGGAGGGGGACCCCTGGTGTGCCTGGTCGGAGGCCCGATATCCGGCCACAGAGATGAGTGTTTTTAGAAACCTGGCAGGCGAGGGCGTTGCGGGGTGTGTGTGTGGGAAAACAGCACATTTTAGGAAAACCTGCCGTGCCCGACTGTACTTTTATTTTCAGTGCTCTTTTCCTAGCAAATGTCCCTTTTTTGGGAGTGGAACATAAAAATGTATTAGATGAAATGTAGTTTGCTCATAAAATCATTGTGCTTGGTATATTCAGAATATGGAAAAGTCAGGAAAAATTATATTAATTCTGGCTTCGCTGGGCTCTTGCATCTCCAGAGAAGTGACTAAGCACCTTGCCTGTTTTCAAGCGTTATCTCGAGCGGAAACTTGAAAACAGCGCGGTGGGACCGCCGACAGTGCCCCTGGGGCTGGCAGCAGGGTCAGGGCTGGGTTGGGACGTTGTGATCCCCGTTTGCTGTTCTGTGCTTTCTAAGCCCACAGAAGAGCCCAGAAAACAGCTTCCGTCTTCCTTCTTTCAAATTACTCTTCTTGCTTGAGGCTTATATTTCCTGACGCTCAGGGAAAGCATCCAGACTTGCCATAAATATTTAGAAATTAAGGGCCGAGCTGTTGACGCGACTCGTTAAGGTTCACACAGAGAGAAGCAAAGGAGGGTTTTGTGCTGTCAAGAGAGTGAGGTTGCTGAGCCGGTGAGCACGTGGCGGGTTATGAATAGGCCGGGCTCATAGAGGCAGACCGTAGGGCGAAGATGCCCTTTAAAGGCCAGTCTAAGTGAAAAGGGAAATCGAGGGGGATCTGCCACGGGTTCCTATAATCCAGGAGCTCCCAGTCCTTTCCGTGGATTTGCCACGTGAACACTTAGCGTTCATCGAAAGGGTTCCTGAAATGTTTGTTGTCCCCACGTGGTCGCCCGCCTCCTCTGAGTGAGAGCAGTGTGTGTTGAGGGACTTTCTGAGGAAGCCTGTGACTGTGCTGGGTGGGCGCGGGTGTGCTGTCCCTGACCCTGCAGCGCACGCACGGTGAAGCCACCGGGCTCTTGGCTCCCGCATGCAGACCCAGGGTGGCCTCGGGCAGCCCTCAGAACGGGCTCTCCCTCCCAGCAGCCTTTCTACCGCTGTCTCTCTGAGCCCCGTGTGGTCCGTCCCCAGGGCAGGCGTCCCTGCTGCGGGCCTGGTGACGGGGTGCCGTCCGGGACAGACTCGGGAATAGGGGCGCTGGCTCTGGAGTCAGGGAATTTGCTGGGTAGGATTGTTTCTGTTGAGCTTTGAAAGGGATCATCTCCTCCTACTGGCTTGTGTTTTGTTTTGTTTTTTTTTTTGCGGTACACGGGCCTCTCACTGCCGTGGCCTCTCCCGTTGCGGAGCACAGGCTCCGGACGCGCAGGCTCAGCGGCCATGGCTCGGGCCCAGCCGCTCCGCGGCATGTGGGATCTTCCCGGACCGGGGCACGAACCCGTGTCCCCTGCATCACCAGGCGGACTCTCACCACTGCGCCACCAGGGAAGCCCTGGCTTGTTTTTTATTTCCCTTGGGTACAATGAGGGTCATCAAGGCTGGTTTTAATATGTGGGTCCCGATAGTCCCTAAACCACCCAGGGCCACCGTTGCCGTCAGCTGGTGGCTCCCGTCTGTGGCCAGACTGAGCGCAGTGGTTGGCCTTTTCAGGGGCTTCGGAGGGGCCGCGTCCCTGATCTAGCCTTAGGATCTTGTGTGAGATCCATTGAAAGGATGGGAAAACCGAGAGATGAAACAGCTGGTTCAGGGTCCCCTTGCTCTGCTCTCTGCATTGTGCTTGGGGCTGGGAAGCTTCCTGTCCTCCCTGTGAGCCACAGGCGACACAGTCATTTGGAACAAGTGGGGTCTGAGCAGTGGAATACTATACAGCCGTACGAAACACCATGCGGGAAACTCCCTGTATGATAAATGGAAAAAGCAAACTGCAGGACAGTGCGTCCAGATAAAAAACTAGCATAAATAAATACATGCAGATAGGCAAGAAACATGCCTGGAAATGTACGCGGGAAACATATACGGTTACTGGTTGCAGGAGGGGACGGGGGCTTGTCATGGTGTATGCTTTCGAGTTTCGGTCCAAGCGAATATACTGCCCAGTGAACATTGAAGTGAAAAGTAATAGATCACATGTCGGGGTTGGGAGAGGGGTCTGACTGGGCGTGTGAGCTGAAAGCAGGGTCTTGAGCTACCCCTTGGCCAAGGAGTCCCTGAGCTCTGATCCGAGGCTCTCGGAGCTGCAGACCCAGCAGCGGCTGTGCACCCCGGGGACAGTCCTGCTCAGGCATCCAGTCTTCCCCGTCCACCACGAGGGAGCAAGGCTGGCCTGTAGTGCCCTGGTCTGGGGGGGGCAGGTGTCCCTGCACCCAGCCTTTTACCTTCATCTTCGTGACTCTCCGCTCCGTGATCTTCACTTTTCTCTGCCTGAGGTTGGTGGGTCCCCTGTGCTTCTGATCACCTGGCACCCAGAGCCTGCAGGCCGGCAGGGTCGGGTCAGGGTTTCTTCTCGTGTCCCCAGCGAGTCTTAGGGGTCAGGTGGCAGAGGGACGGGAGCATTGCTCGTCATGGTGAGGGTGCTCAGAGCTCTGCCTCTTCCTTGACCTCTCCTGCCCCAGGGCCGAGCGTCTGGGCTGCGCGCACCTCTGTGCCCTCGGAGGAAGCAGCCTGGTTCACACGGAATTCCCCCGCTTCTCCCCAGGGGACCCTCATCCAGCACCTGAAGGAGCACATTCTTCACGGCAACATGACCAGCAGTGACATCATCCTGTATTACACCACGGTGAGTGCGGGTGCTGTGCTGAGACGGGTGCCCTCCCCCTCCTCCGCGCCCCTCCCAAGACGGGCTTTGGTTCATTCAGGTAGGGAGGACTTTACTCTTCTTTTTGCCTCTCCACCTTTGCACATGTCAGGAGCCAGAAGCGCAGCTCGAGCCGCAGGCAGCGTGCGCCAGACCCCGGGCCGCGTGCGCCAGACCCCGGGCCGCGTGCGCCAGACCCCGGGCCGCGTGCGCGAGACCCCGGGCCACGTGCGCCAGACCCCGGGCCGCGTGCGCCAGACCCCGGGCCGCGTGCGCCAGACCCCGGGCCGCGTGCGAGCAGCCCCTCCTGCGGGATCCTTCGCTCTCGCTCTCTTTCTCTCCCTCCTGGCGGCTGCCCACTTGAATCTCAGCACCAAGGTCGAGCACCAGCCTGGCCCGTCCCCCTGTGTTGACCTTGGTTGCCGCTGGGAGCCCTGGAGCCCTGGGGAAATCTAGAGAAACCGAGGAGACTGTTAATTCAGTCTCTTGAGCCTGTAGAGGTGGGGATGAGTGTCACGTGACGAAATCTGTGGCTCAACCTGGGGGACAGGAACTTACCAGAGATGCCGTGAGGACGGTCGGTTCTTAGTCATGTGCAATAGTAAAGGGACTCTAACCAGTGGAGGTGGAAAAGGAATTTACTGGAAGGCCGTGGGGTGGCGTGCTGAGAGGCAGAATAACGGCCCCAAAGGTTCCCGTGTCCTCACTCCTGGAGCCTGTGCATGTCACCTGATGCGGCAAAGGGGCTCTGCAGATGTGATTCGGCTGTGGCTCCGGAGACCAGGAGAGTGTCCTGCGTTATCCGGGGCCCAGGGTGATCACCAGGGTCCTTACAAGAGGGACGCAGGAGCGGTGGAGCCAGAGGGGGCGGACGACAGAGCAGAGGTCAGAGCGTGGTGGGTCCATGAGCCAAGGAGCGCGGGAGCCCCTTGAAGCTGGAAAAGGCCAAGAAAGACCCTCCCCTGGAGCCTCCAGAAGGAACTCCCAGCCCCGCTGACACCTGAGTTTGGACACCCGACCTTCAGGACTCTCAGACAGTACACTTAGGCCACTGGGTTTGTGGCCGTTGTTTACAGCAGCCAGAGGAAGGGCATGCAGGGTGGCTCGAGCAGTTACTTCCATGGCTGGGGATCCAGGCGTGAGACCAGGCGGGGCCTGCGGGCGGCTGCGCGTGCAGCTGAGAGCCGCCGCTGTACTGCAGCGCCCGCGGGCGGCCCGCGGTCCTGCGCCCAGGACGGAGGTGGCCCTGCTTCCAGCCCTTCCCGTGGTTAGTGTGGAGCGGGCGTCATCGAACCAGAGCTTGAGCTCAAGGTGCTGGAGCTGTTCCCGACGCCGCTGAACCCTGGACGGTGAAAGGTTAGCAAGCCGAAGGGAGTGCTGTTTGTCCCAAGGGGAGAAAACTCAAAATCAGCTTTTTCCAAGACCGCAAATGTCCAGGGGCTCCAGAGTGATTTGGCTCCCATTTCCGGTCTGAGTTCTCAAGGAAGCAGAACGCTGAGGCATCTTCCTAACCTGGGAGGTCGAGGCCCAGGCCCTGCTGCTTCCCTGGTGCCAGGGCCCCAGGACCCGTTGCAGACACAGGAGGGAGCACTGACGTGCGACCAGGGGCAGGTCGCCCTGTGTGCCCAGCCGTAAATCCAGGGCTCTGGGCCAAACGATTTGGGTTTCTTTCAGCTGCAGGCTTTCCTTCTATCCCCCTCCACCATCGTGAACAGTGAGTGGTGCTGGGTCCCCGCCAGGCTCTGTCAGGCTCCGGCCCTTTCAGACAGGAAGCCCAGCCCTGGGGCGTTAATGGAGCAGCGTTTTGAATTGCAGAACCCCACCCCCGGGGCAGCCACAGCTGCGCTGACCTCCAACTCAGCTGCCTCCCTGGGACACGGTGAGGGGACAATGGAAGGACTCAAGGATCCAGAGCAGTTCTCTCGAAAGCAGTTCACTTTTCTGGGAAGCATCCTGCCCACGAAGGACGGGGCTGTTGCATTTTTCGGTGGAGGATGCCGGGTGCCAGCGGCAGCCTCGGGTGCCCCCAGCCGGCCCCAGCCAGGCCTGTGCTGTCGCTTGCTGACTCACTGTAGCAGCTGGACAGTGAGGTGGCCGGGGTGCAGTGCTGCCTATTACAGTAATTCCTTGGGAAAAGATTCCTTATTAGAAGAAACTCAACTTAGGATGTTAAAACCCGTAAAAAAAAAAAAAAAGGCAACTCAACTAAATGGAGGTTCTCGTGTGACCCCTGGTTCCCTTTGCCGTTTCCGTGGTGCCAAAGGGGGAGCACAGGTTGGTCATCGTGCTTCTACCCGCGTCACTCACACTGTTGTGACCTGTCTGGGGATTCTTAACCGCCACTTGGGTGCCACCTCACGTGGCCGCCTGGTCCCCGATGGCGGGATTCTGACCTGGGGACACCGGGTGACCTGGGACACTGGGCCGCATCTGCTCCAGGCTCATGGATGGGCGTCCTCCTGCCCTCGTTGCTTACGGGCTGGAATTGGGTTGTTTTGCCCTCTGGACAGAGATTCCTGCTTCCTTGTTCTGTCGCTATATTGCTTTAGGCTGGAATCGCCTACAAATTCTCCCAGCGTGGATGGGAGTGCCATCGTCAGTGGGGCTATGAGCACACTCTTCGGCTGTGAAAATTTTTTTAATAAAAAAAAAAAATGCTCTACTTACATGTGGTAAGCATTCCATGCAGCACATGGGAACTTGGTGAGAGGTTGGCGTCTTCCAGGGCCCAGAGGCAGCCACGTCCGCCGTGCTCACTCCCCTGCCCCTCGGGCCCCTTTTCAGGCCCAGGGGTGGGGCTGGGGGTTCTGTATACGAATGGGGCGCCGCACACCCTCTGCCGGGCTGGCCCTGCCCCTTTACGGTCTGTCTTCGAGCCAGGCCTCGTTCTTTTGGATGGCTGTGCAGTGGCTGACTCCTGAGTGCTTGCTGGGTGCCAGGCGCTGTTTCCCACGTCCGACCCGGGTTGCCTGCTGCAGCGCCCAGGGTTCCCTGCACGTGTGCACCACGTGACCACGCAACGGGCATCTCTGTTGCCTTCGGTCCCTTGTCACCAGTGAGGCTGCAGGAAACGTTCTCCGACATGTCTTAGTGCACACGTGTGCGTTGGTCCCTGCCATAAACTCTTTTAATTTTAATTTTTATTTTGGCTTCATTGGGTCTTTGTTGCTGCGCACGGGCTTTCTCTAGTTGCTGCGAGCGGGGGCTACTCTTTGCTGCGACGCGTGGGCTTCTCATTACGGTAGCTTCTCTTGTTGCGAAGCAGGGGCTCTAGGCGCGTGGGCTTCAGTAGTTGTGGCATGCGGGCTCAGTAGTTGTGGCACACGGGCTCAGTAGTTGTGGCACGCGGGCTCAGTAGTTGTGGCACACGGGCTCAGTTGCTCCGCAGCACGTGGGGTCTCCCCAGACCAGAGATTGAACCCGTGTCCCCTGCACTGGCAGGTGGATTCTTAGCCTCTGCGCCACCAGGGAAGTCCCTTACCGTAAACTGTTGACGGGGAATTGCTGGGGCAGAGTGTTGTGCGTTTGGGCCGGGCAGTTCTTGGCTACTTTGGCTCAGCATCGGGTGGTTTTCTGGGGATGTGAGAGGCTGCGTGACGGGGCCGAGGGGAGCTGGCCCGGCACTGGGTTGACACGTGTTCCCTTCTGTCTGCTCCAGGTCGGCTGGATGATGTGGAACTGGATGGTGTCTGCTCTCGCCACGGGGGCGGCCGTGGTCCTATACGACGGCTCCCCGCTGGTGCCCACCCCCAATGTGCTCTGGGACCTGGTCGACAGGATCGGGTAGGTATCCGGGACACTCAGACACAGGGTGGCCGCTCTGAGGATCTGGGTGCCGTCTCTGGAATGCTTTGCCACCCTTGATGTCCCCCTCTTGGTGGGGGTGGCTGTGTGAGGGTGTGGAGGTGCCAGGAGTAGGTGAAGCTGTCAAGGAGGGTGGGAAGGGGTGGGCGCCCCTGACAGGGACTGACCATGGAGACCCATGTAGTGCGGAGGGGGCTGCCCCACCCCTCAGGGCCCAGGGGTGAGCTCTGAAACCTCGGGCACCGGGAGAGGGAACGTGGCCTTTTTTTTGTAACTCTGGATTCTAAGAACTTGCAGAGCTGCGACCCAGAAGAGAGGCAGACTGAGGGCTGATGAGAGCTTTGTTTCACGCGGGGCCCGTGGCCGCAAGGGTGATAGAGAATGACCCAGGCTGAACGTACATACTTGTTCGGGGGACGGTGTGGAGATGCCCATCCAGGGGAGGGCAGGTCTGTCTCTGGGGCGTTCCCAGCATGTGGCCTTCCCACCCGCCTTTCTGCGAGCCCTCAGGGCTGGCCAGCGCCTCGAGGGTCTCCCAAGACTCAGCAGGGTGCTTCCAGATGCTCCGCTGCCCGTACTGCAGAAGGGCCTCACCGCAGTCCTGTGAACAGGACGGCAAGCGGGCATCCTGATGGCAGAGGCAGCGGCCAGCTAAGGGGCAGCATCGGGGGAAGGGTGGAGTGGCCCCTCTTCTCCCCCAGCCCCTCATCGCCATCGCCAGGAACCGTCCAAGACCCTGTTCCGTCGGCCCTTTCTTTGCTGATGAATTAATCATAGGCGGCTGACGCATTCTCGCCACTGCAGCTGCTGGTCGCCGTTGGCCTAATGATCGTGTTCCCAAGAACGAGAACACGGAAGCTGGCAGGGCTCCCGTGGCCCAGAAGTTAGCCACGCTCTGCAATGTTCTAATTACATTACCTTTGAGTCCATTTACATTGGGGAAACAGGAGGAACCGCTAATGTTCTTAAATCCTTGGGCATTAATATTTGAAGTATAACGTTGGCCTGGGTGATATTTAAATCCTGACATTTGGCTCACAGTATTAGCGAGGAAATTTATTTCCTAATGAGCTTGTTGCCAGTGAAAGGTTAATCAAATCCCTGGGAAGATCTCTGCCCTGAATACCTGTCAGCCGCGCTCAGGAGGATACACTCTGGACGTGTGTGCCTGTGCCACGGGAGGAGGGATGGAGAGAGAAAGGTACATCCCCGGGGCTTAGAGCTAATGAAGTTGAAGGATGGAAGGCCCAGGCAGACCCAGCTTTGCGTGTGTGTACGTGCACACGTGTGTGTAACGTGCACACGTGTGAGCGTGTGTACGTGCACAAGTGTGAGTGTGTATGCACCTGAGTGCGAACGTGTGAGTGTGTATGTGCATGTGCACGAGTGTGAGCACGCATGTCTGTGAATGTGTGCAGGTGTGCGTGTGCACACATGTGTATGTGCATGTGCGCACGTGTGTATATGCAGGTGCACATACACTTATGTGCACAGGAAAGTGGGTGTGTGAGAGTATGTGCACATGTGGGTGTGAGAACACCCATGCCTGTGGATGAGTGTGTGTGTGCATGCATGTGATTGTGTGCATGTGGGAGTGCGTTCGCAGCCCTGTGGTTTGGGTCTGTGTAGAACGCACGTGCTGGGCCTCCGCCTTACATCCTGGTTTGGCCTGTGCCCCGGACGCCAGCTGAGCCGTGGCCTTGGCCGTCCTCAGGGCCCCTCTGGCCTGGCCCTTCACCCGGCTGGGGGGGCTCATCTGCTGAGGTCAGCGAGGCAGGTGCCACTCGTTGGCCTGTGAGGGGCGCCCGAAGGGCAGCACGGCGCTCCAGCCGTCCACGCGGGTGACAGGAGAGGGGGCAGGTCAGACGGGGCGGGATGCCTTCATTCCAGCTCTGCCACCTCCCGACGCTGAAGTAACACCAGATCAAACGTGCTTTCACCTAGAATCCTGCGGGTTTGTGGCAGGAGGAGCGACGCTTCAGCGCTGGCAGGGCGGGCAGGGGCCTCGCAGTGCGACTTAAGGGCCTCTCGTGTTTAAAACGACGTTGATGCGCTTAGGGACGGAATCCTCGTTGATTGTCTTCGTGTCAGCGCACAGGCTTACTAACACGTGTCATAACTGAGCAGTTATTTTGCAGACGTGAACAAGGCTGAAGGAGGGATTGTCCTCTTTGTTTGGGGTGTGTTGCTGGGCTCTCCAGGTCTGGGCCGGGGAACATTCTGGTAGGGGTCAGGGCAGAACTCTGGGGTCTTTGTCCGGGTTTGCAACTGGGCAGGCAGTTCACGTTTAGGACTGCGGGACGCGTGTTGCAGGCCAGGGCAGCGGCGGGTGCTGAGGCCCCGAGGGGACCGAGATGGGGGTGGTGCGGAGGCTGGGAGGAGGCCCTCGTGGCTGCATGTGGGCAGTCGATTCGGGCGGTGGAGCTGGATGAGGGGGGAGGGCAGGGTCCCCCAGGGATTTCGGGGCTGTGCCTCGGGGCGGGTGTCTTCCGCGTGACGTGGCACCCCGTTGGGGCGTTGAACTTGGGGGCGCTACACGATCCCCCCGCGAACTGCGGGGTCGAGGGCAGACTGGGGAGACCGGGGCTCAGGCTGGCGGAGCCGTGGAGGAGCTGCGTCTGCAGGGGGCTCCTTGCAGGGCTCCGGGCTGGGGCGAGCTGGGGAGCCGCCTCGTTCCTCGTGGGGTGCTTCCCAGCAGCACTCGCGAAAAAGACACAGCGCCGAGCACACAGGCACGGGCGCCTGCGCTGCATGAGCTCTGTGTTTTTTAAACTGCCTTACCCAAGCCTGGAGACAGACGGGGAGGCCTGGCCGTTCCTTCACACAGCAGGCCTGGGGCCCAGCCCCGGGGATGCCGTGGCAGTCTTTACACATCGCCGAGGGTGCAGTTTGCAGACAGACACCTGCGACTTGGGGAGAGGGGGCGGATGGGGGCTGAGCAGAAATCCGCGTGCTGCGCTGTGTGGCTGGTGGCTGGAGATCTCTACCTGTGGCTGAGGCCGTCACTGCTGTCCGTCAGCATGTGATGGGTCCCTGGTCTCCTGTTGAAATACAGGTGACGCCTTAATTCTCAGAGGGTCTGGAATCAGCTAATCAGACTCCCTGAGTTTATGGAGTAAGTGAGGAGGGGGTGGGGACTGTGTACGTTTCCTGGTCCCCACGACCTCCCAGCTCCCAAAACAGCCTTCACCAAGGACACAGCGACCCAGGAAGTGTCCGCGGTCTTAGTGGTTGCAGGGTGTCCCGGTGAAGTGAAGAAGAGAAAGGGACTGGAGGCATGAAGGACAGTAGTTTTGAGCTGTGGATTCTGCCCCTCCCAGCCCAGCCGGCCCTGGTTCTGTGTGTCTGTGCCTCTGAGCTCTGTCAAGCACCAGATAGCACAGGGCTGTCTCCCTGGAATGAATCTCGCCAGCCAGGTGCGAAGGGATGGGTTTTGCCGCCCAGAGGGGCAGGAGGGACCTGGATTTTATGGCCTCCTTCAGCCCCCAGGAGAAAACAGCCATTAGTTAGGAAGGTAGAGCTTTCTAGGAAGGAAACAGAACATGAAGTAACACTCTCCCCTTGAAAACACAATGACTTATACTCAGCATAACGTGTTGTTCTCAATGCAAACTTGGGGATAAAGGACTAGACTCTAAATGTTCAAAAAGAGAAGAAGAGTGGTTTTCTAAGTTTCATAAAAATGTGAGCTTACTTAAGAAAGGGAGATGGGTCAGGAATCCCAGGCTTGGCACCTGTCCTAACAGAAGCTCCCACGGCCTCTCCACTCCCTGGAAAACGATCGCGAGCGCTCAGAACTTGAGGGGTCTTGATTCTGTGTCCTCCTTTGGTCCCCCCGAGAGAAAACGTCCTGCAGCTGGGAAGATGGTGGGTTTATGTGCAGACAGTTGTTTTAAGTAGAGCCAAAGGGTAAAGGGAGCCCGGGTGCTCTGCACACGTGTCAGTGCTGGCCTCAGAGTAACGCAGGTGTTGTAACTGGCTTTCAACTACATATTAAGCGTTAATTCAACCCAGAAAAATGACGTGTCTTGGATTTTGCAACTTCGTCCGAAATGGGTCACTAATTTGAGAAAGCTTTGGTGCCTGGAATGTGCAAGAGCCTTGACGAGTTTCCGGTGTCTTCTTAACTCCAGCATCACCATCCTTGGAACGGGTGCGAAGTGGCTGTCAGTGCTGGAAGAGAAAGACGTGAAGCCAGGTAAGCGTGCCTCCCAGGGTGTCCGTTCCCTGTCTCGCCAGCCGCGGAAATCAGATCCACTCTGTTACCTGGTTCCTGCAAGCCAGGCAGAGGGTGTCGGGTCTGGCTCTAATCTCTCAGTGATTCTGGCTCTAGTGGAAACTCACAGTCTGCAGACGCTGCGCACGATCCTGTCCACCGGCTCCCCCCTGAGCGCCCAGAGCTACGACTATGTCTACAGGTGCGTCAAGAGCAGCGTCCTCCTGGGCTCCATCTCAGGTACGGCCCCCGCCATGTGCCTGTGCCGTGGAGAAGGTTCTGGAAGAGCCAGAGGACTCGGGGACCAGGCTTGGCCGTTAGGCGTGCTTCCCCTGTGGCCCAGCGAGTCCACCGGCTTGAATTTCGCTGCGTGAGCAGTCAGCAGGGCATGCGCGTTTGCACGGTCGGTGCTCCTTGCTCTCAGTAGTTATGTTCCAGGGAGAGGCTACGGACACTGAGCTGGCCATTGCTGAACCTTTGCCGGGGCTGGAGAACGCACATACACTCCTCACCCTGACCGTAACCTTAGATCCTAAACAGCTCATCCTGGTAGAGTCTGTTTTCTTTACGAAAGAGAAAACAGGGTTTGCACGTGCCAAGTGACTGGCCTGAGGCCACCCACTAGCTGGGTACAGAGTGGGATTCAAACCCGGTCCTGCCGCCTCAGAGCCGAGCTTCCCGCCCGCCCAGTGCATCCCTTGGTCCTCCCCAGAGCCCGCCTGGTGGGCAGGGGTGCTGCTGTCGGATGGGCGTGGGGCTGTCTGCCGGGCCGGCCCAGCCCATCTCGGGGCAGCCACGTCTGTTAGGCTCTTGGCCTGTCCTCCTGCCGCTGTCCCAAGCGCCCCAGCTCCAATCCGGAAGCAGCGGAAGCAGCACTTCTGCTCCCAGCGCTGTGCTTTGTTGGGGCGCGAGACTGTCCCGAGCTTGCTGGTCACGGCCGTGAACGTGATTCTCCCGTCTTCATGGGACGTGCCAGCCGGTACCTCGAGGTGTCTGGAGGAGGGAGGCAGGTCAGCACGCTTCGATTCTGCCCGGAATTAATCCTGCCAGTTGTTGAAGCATTGAAACATTTTATGTGGGTTTCAATCACCCTGCCCCACCCCGTTCGTATACACAGAGCGTGATCAGGGAGAAGACACTTCTTAAATCACAAGGCTGTCTTTTTAGGTGTACAAACAGGTGTAAAGGGGAGCACGGACACCAGTGTCCGGATCGCCGAGTCTAGGAAGGGACCAAGTCGGGGCTCCGTGTATGCCCTCTGCCCACAGCCTCCCCGGCTTTCCTCCCTGGGCTGCCGTCTCCAACCCCTGCGCGCCCCAGTGGGCTCCGTGCGTGTCCCTGTGCCCACAGAGCATCCCGCACTGCGGGCACGTGCGAGGGGGCAGTTGTCACCGGCTGGGCCCAGGTTCAGGCGTTAATGCCACTCCCTCTTGATGACACCTGGGGTCCGACTCTTTTTCGAGCCTCTCCCTGAAGCGGAGTGTTTCGCATCCAGCACGTGCTCTCGTGCGGGAGACTCGCACTCCAGGGACCACAGGGTTTCTGCTTCTCCGATGATTAAGTGAACATAAACCGCAGCAAAGAGACTCTGCACGTGGCCCGTCTGCCGCAGCAGTTCCTGCAGACAGGTCTGATGGGGCGAAGCTTCCACTTTCGTGAACCTGAGTCTAGGATTTCCGTGCGACCACAAGAGGTCATTTATTTGGTGTCTCCTTCAGCACGTAGCCCTGGTCAGAACGATAAATCACCCGGACACGGGAGGTTCAGTCCAGTTTCTACGTCACCTCCCCGCTCCCTCCCTGAAGAGAAGCTCAGCTCTCGGGGAATTTTTCTGTATTTATCTGGAGAAAGAGTAGTATATATTTGTCCTTCGGGGTCTTTCTCCTTTATTGTTAATTAATAAAATACATGGACAGTTTGTCTCAGTCTTCTGAAATTTTTTTTTTTCTTTTGGCCGTGCCGTGTGGCTTGTGGGATCCTACTTCCCCAACCAGGGATCGAACCCAGGCCCTCGGCAGTGAAAGCCTGGAGCCCTAACCACTGGACCGCCAGGGAAGTCCCGGTCTTCCGAATCTTGAATCTCCTTTTGTTTGCAGGTGGCACCGACATCATGTCTTGCTTCGTGGGCCAGAATCCTTCAATTCCTGTGTACAAAGGGGAAATTCAGGCCCGGAACCTGGGCATGGCCGTGGAGGTGTGGAACGAGGAAGGTGATGGCTCCAAACCCTTTCTCTCTCTGTGACGAGGTGTGAGTGGTAACTTGGATACGCTTGGATGTGTAACTTTGCTTGGGGCCAGTTCTCCAAAACTGCCCCGTCTGAGGGGCCGGCCCCTGCCACCGCTCGCAGACTGACGGCCCCCGAGCCTGGCTGAACGCCCGCCGGGCTCCCCGGCCTCCTGCAGCCCGTCCGGCTGAGGGGAGCAGGTGTTGGCCTGCAGCACAGACGGCGGGCCACGTGCTTGGAACGCCAGGCAGGCATGCAAACTTTGGGGACGCTGCTGAGGCCACCCCACTGCCTCAGCAGCCTCGTGCCCTGACCCTGGCAAGGACCCAGAGCGAGATGCGGGACCCGAGGGGCAGCGCGATACTGTTTGTGCGGTGTTTAGAAACATGCAAAATGACGTGTTATTCAGGTGTATGTAGGTGTGGTAAAATTATTAATCCACATAAGGGAACAGTACAGGATTGAAGTTGAGCGAGAGTGGGGGGAGGGTGGTGGGGAGCAGTAGCGTGGCTTTCGGTGACGCCGGGCTGATGGGCATGTGGGCGGGGCCGGCTGCATGGCTTTGGATGTGTCTGAAATACTCTGTGATAGCTCATAGCTTAAAAAAGGAGAGAAGGAGAGAAAGAGAGCCGGGGCGTTTGGCTGTGGCGTGTGCTCAGTTTAGCTCTCATTCCTCCCCGGCCAGGAAAGGCAGTCTGGGGGGAGAGCGGTGAACTGGTGTGTACCAAGCCGCTCCCCTGTCAGCCCACGCACTTTTGGAACGACGAGAACGGCAGCAAGTACCGGAAGGCGTATTTCTCCAAATTCCCAGGTGGGTCGGGATGCAGGTGGAGCCGCCCAGATTCCCGCCCGGGCTGGGCCTTCGGTGTCTAATTCTGGATGCGCCTGCCCCCTGCCGGCCCCCCCAAAGCCCGGTGAGGCTGCTCGCAGCTCATTCCGCCAGGGGGGCAATGATGAATTTTTGATCAGTATCTGGTCACCGTCAGCTTGAAGCCATCTTATGAAACCCTAATCTGGGTGTAGATTACTCTTAACCACCCTCTGTGCCCGGAGCCCCTTGGCCCGGAGCCCTGCTCCTGGCCGCCGGCACGACCCGCTGGTTTGGCTGCGTAGGGGCGGGAGGCCCGCTCGCTTACCCAGGCTCGTCTGCCTGTTCGGGGAGAGATGCGTGTGCGAGAGGTGTCTGGCTGGGGTCTCCTCTGTCTCACACCCCATCAACCAGTCCTCGTGGAGGTGATGGGAGAAGAGAGCTTTTGCAGCGGGATGATTAATTCCAGGCCGTCACTCACTCAGGCTGCCACCCTCCGTTCATCTTCGGAGTGGTGTCTTGCCCCAGAGCTGGAAAGTCTCTTTATTTAAAGCTCTGATTCCTGCCTCCTTATCTTATTTCATAAGCAACCTCGAGTGATTGCAGCTATGTAACTCATAATGTAGCGAGCCTTCTGCTCCAGAGTTATTTACACCTAAGTACTTGCTGTCTTCAACCTCTAGAAAGGTAATTCTGTTTTGCATAAATCACATGTGGTGAATCAGAAAGCGGCAGGTGACCATCGGGGGTAGAAGGTGCCACGGGTCCGTCCCGTTTCTCTACTCGGCCTTGCGTGTTCCTGTGTAATGTTCCATGTAAAAGCCATCGTACCTGGCATAGCACGTTGCATTTGAGGGTAGTGGGAGCATCCCTCCCCGCCATGTGGCCTGGCCTCCATTGGATGCCTCTGCATTTAAGCCCCACCTTGGGTCCTGCCAGTGTGTAGCTGTTCAGACAGACTAAAGCAGACTAGAGCGAGAGAGAAGTTCCTCAAATGACCTTGAAGAGGAGTCGGGGCTCCTGTCCTAGGACGGGATTAGAACCTCAGCTTGAAGATCCATCTAAGAAATGACATCTCTTCATCTTCTGCAGCACTGCTCTTTGAAAACTCTTTTCTGTCACTTTTTGTTATATATGCAAGGGTTCGCATGATAAATGTCTCTCAGGATTAATTTCAGAAAAAGTGTTTATTTCCAAAGCTCTGATATTCCTTCTTGGAGGAAACAAATACTTGGTGACCTGTTATATTTTCCATTTTTGCCTTGGCTGCCAGGAAGCTCAGAGCTGCCATCATTGCTTTGTTGTAGCAGTCCTCTCACCACAGTGCAGAGTTTCTGATCCTTTCAATAATCCCATCATATAGTTGGCTTTATAGGTAGCTTCCTCAAATACTTTCTGGAAGTAGATGTGACATACGAATAAATATGGAGAAATAAGGGCAGATAAGATAGATAATGGGATCTGAAGCTGTTGGTCATGGTCAGGGTGGACACAGGCTGAACTTAGATCACTTCTCCAGGCCCAGCACTGAGAGATTCTTGGACTGTATAGGACATGGCTCGATGATAAAAGAAAACAACAACAAAGAAGCAAGGTCTTCCTTTCTGCAACAGGCATCCGACTTACAGACATCACTACCCTGAAAAATCAGGCTGGGTGAAAATGTAAACTGACAAAGTGCCGATATGGAGAAGCATCCAAGAATTTATTAAGTGACAAATAGGAGTGCAGAACCGAGGGCATTGTACGCCTTCTGTGTGAGTTGTTAAAAGGAAATGTATGTGTGTGAATAATACGAGCCATTTTGATTTTCTTTGTGACTTTTAATTATCTTTAAAAACCTAATAAAAATTTAAAAGGAAATTAAAAGCAGACTTTAGAAAGATTTAGATCATTCTGATTCTTCAAAGCAGTGATTTCAGCTCTGAGTTTCCTGGTAGCCAAGGCAAAAATGGAAGTATGATGGGTACAGGTGACTGAAGATGGTAAATTCCAAATAGGAGACCAGGCCTGCCCATGAGCCATCAAGATTTTGAGCTTGATGAGATGGAGCAGGCAGAGCTTCCATTGGCCCTCGTTAGCTAAACAGGTCCAGTGGTCACAGGTCCTTTAATAAGAGAGGCGTGTATGTGCAATGTGTTGTTTATTTATATTTACATTTATGTACATGGAAGGCTGGGCCATCTTTTTTTTTTTTTTAATGTACAGGTGTACATGCTCACTCTAAAAAGATTTCAGGCAGTAGACCTCCAGGAATTAAAAGCAGGAGAAAGGCTGGGTTTGCCCATTCATCCTGGTGTATTTGTTCACGGGTCCCATCACCGAAATGGGAGAGCACGAGGAAAATCAGAGTGAAGCAAAATCACCTGCCATGAAAACTAGAGAGTTTAAACTGCAGGCCCAGGGGCATGGAAACCTAGAAGGAAACCCTCAATTTCTCTGACGTGGCAACCGGGCACCAGAGCCTCCAGCCACTTGTGGATTCATCCCCTCAGCTTTGGTTTTGCAAGAGGTTGAAGCATGTCATTTCATTTTCACAAATGAAAACTTCTTCCGGGAGATTTGCATCTTCCTTTTTCTTTGCATTTCCAGGGCTTCAGTAAGGATCAGACTCATGGGAGGTCTGACTCCACATGAGCCAGACTGTGTGTGGATCTTGGCACCCAAGTTCCAAAATGAACAAGGGTTCCCGGGAGGTGGGTGGGACAGGCCCTGCTGCTTGTCTGCAGCTTGCTGTCTCCTGGGACCACCGTGTATAAGCCTGGCTTTCTGTGTAGCCATACAGATGTGCTTCTGCAAAACTTTGGCATGTCATTTGCAAGCCTAGGAATGACTTTTCCACCTGTTTGTGTAGGGGAACCCTTTAAATATCCAATTAGAAAGGAGAGGTTTCAGCCACAGCAATCAGACAAGAAAAAGAAAGAAAATGCGTCCATATTGGAAGGGAAGAAGTAAAACTGTCACTGTTTGCAGATGACATGATGCTATATATAGAAAACCCTAAAGTCTCCACCAAAAAGCTATTAGAACTAATAAGTGAATTTAGTAAAGTTGTAGGGCACAAGGTTAAGATGCAGAAATGTGTTGTTTTCCTGTACGCTAATAATGAACTATCGGAAAGTGAAAGCAAGAAAACGATTCCTTTAGAGCGGCACCAAAAAGAATAAAATACCTAGTGGGGAAAAAAAGAAAAGGTTTTATTTTTTAGCTTGGGGAGGAGGGAAGAAGGCCCTCGAGGCCTCCCGTCCTCTTTGCTCAGAATAAATGAGCTCATGAGGCCTTTCCTTGTCTTCCATGGCCTCCCACGCACTGCATGCTCCCTGTGGGCCGGGGACCTGGGCTTCATCTCCGGAGAAGCCTTGGTCGTGGCTTGTAGCCACTGGTTGGGATGAGGGCCTCAACGGAGTATGTTGTCATTGGAGGGGTAGCAGCTCAGAGTCACGGGCCGACTGGGTTATTAGCACTCACAGTTGGGATGTGTGTCAAGAACTCGGAAGGAAGAGATGGCGTCCGTGAGGACCCTGCGCGGGCTTGGTCTGCCATTCTCCCCTGGCTGGATCGCAGGGCTCTGGGGCTTATTCCAGGAGGCCAGGCAAATGAGTCCGAGTTGCGCAGAGCCGGCAGAGCTGTGCTCTTGACCGCTCCCTCCCCCGGGGCGCCTCCTCATTTGTGGGACCCGCCGAGGGAGGAGGCCTCCAGGCAGTTCCCCTGTGCGGCGTGGCTCCTCTCTGCTGCTCCGTGTCGGGTGGAGGATGTGTCCAAAGCTGGGGCCTGATCCCGTGGATCTGTTGCTTTGGGGCATCCCGGACGGGGGCCTCCCCGTGAACGACACCAGCCCAAGGGCCCAGCTGCACGCTGCGGGCCACGTCGGGGTGGCTCAGGGCGCACGGAGTCAGTGTCACCTGATTCTTGCCTCTGTCTCCGCCCTCCACGTGCCCCGGGTTTCAGCTGCTCGTTAAGCCTCTGTCCCCGTGGCTGGTGCCTTAGTTCAGGCTTGGGTTACCGGGACTGTTGCAGTCGCCTCCCGCCTGGTCATTCTCCTTCTGTTTATTCTGTTACAAGGTGGGCCCCAACCCCTCCGGACCTGCTCCCTCAGCCGCCCCAGACCACCCTCTCTTCCCAAGGCGGGGCTTGTACTTTCCCACCCTCCATTCAGAGGCCCCCCTCAAAGCTCCATTGCTCTCCCCAGTCCCCCCCTTCACATCCTCACTGCTGGGGTTGCTCTCAGGCCCCGTGAATTCCCGCAACCCTCGTTGGTACCCGCGGGAGGGGTGTTTCTTGCGCGCTGCCGCATCTCAGACCTGGGTGTAGGGCGGACCCCACTAGAAGGTGTGCCCTTGGGGGTGGGAGCTGTCTGGTTCACTTCCGCCCCCAGCCCCACATCACACCTGCTTCTGGGCCTCGGATGTGTCTGTTGACGAGAGTTACGTTGGTGTCATGCCTTCCGAGGGCGTCTGTCCAGGCAGCCGGTCAGGATCCTGTCCCCTTGGGGTGACCGAGTCCCTCTGCCCCCCCCCCGCCCCCGGCAGGTGTCTGGGTGCACGGCGACTACTGCAGAATCAACCCCAAGACCAGGGGCGTCATCATGCTGGGCCGAAGGTGAGGGCCGTGGACTTGGCTTCTCTTCCCTGGGGCCCCGCTTCCCGAGGCATCCGGGCAGGGAGAGGGGGGCGCTTCCCGTGTCCTGGACCCTTCCATCTGCTCGGCCTGCGGGGTGGGTTGGCTGCCCCATTTGGGGCCTTTCCTGGGTTCTTCCTGTGTCAGCTTCCCAGGGGTGGGTCTGGGCCTGACCCACATTTCTGTGCCCTGCAGTGGTGGGTTGGGGGGCTTTGGGGTGGGAGGCCTGCGGCCGACGTGCGCCCCACGTCTTGTCTGCCGTCGCTACCGCCCTTCCTGGAGTGAAGGGGGGAGGGGTGCCCGCACCCGGGAGGGGGCACCTGTGCGGGGGGAGGGACAGGGAGGTGGCCGATGTCCCCACACAGAGGGGACCCCCTTGATAGCTAGCTTTGAGTTTAGAGGGAGAAAGGGGGTGGTTGGGACTAGGAGCTGGGGAGGCGCCGGTGCTGACGGCATGTGGTCGTGGAAACGGGGTGACTGTCCCTGGGGCCCCTGCGATGGGCCTCACTCTGGAGCCGCCACGTGTCCATGACCTCGTCTCTCTCTCCAGCGACAGCACACTCAACCCCAACGGAGTGCGATTCGGCAGCTCGGAAATCTATAACATCGGTGAGCGTTCTCCTCTGTCCCGGCATTATTCTCAAGTCATCCAGGAGCGGCGCAAGGAGTGTCTCAGCGGGGACCTGCTTTCCAAAGATGCCACCTTTTGGCATAACTCTTGCCCCTTTGCCTCCGGGCGTGAGAATAGACATGTATGAGGGTGTCCTTCTTTCTAGAACATCCTTGTCCACACTGCTTGTAGCTCAAAAAACCTCAGGACAGGATCCTTAAGGTCCCGTGGCCCATCCCCATTCCGTTACATCTCATCCTCATGGTGAGCTCCATCAGGTTGGTCAACTGTGTCTACTCTTTATGGGTGGAGAAAGACACACAGAGAGGTTGTGTGATTGCTGGCAGTCACACAGCACCACCATCCAGGACGCCAAATAAAGACAGTGGGCCTTATGGGTGCACAGTAGAGCCACCTGTGAGCCTTAAAATGTCCCACCGGGGCCACGAAATCAGCCTCCCGGGGAGGCGGCCTCATGCGGATGGCAGAGTCCCAAAGTCATGTCAGGGTTGTGTAATCAGGGTGGAATCTCGATCCATGTGATTCCAGCCTTTCTTCCTCCCACCACTGGAGTACCCTTGCGGCACTTGATTCCTTTTCTTATTTTTAAATTTGTAATTGAGTAAGTAAGGCGGGTGCCCGGCTCCTTGTAAGACGTCAGCCCTTCCAGCGCGAGCTATGGCTCTCTGACTCTGCTGGTGATAGGTGTCCTTCTGCCTGTTCCCCGGGGCACCTGCCAGGGGGGGCAGGGGAGCCACGGCAGTCCCCATCAAGGTGGGATGGTGTGAGAGCGAGGCCCTGGCCCTGTCTCTGCAGTGGAGGCCTTCAAGGAGGTCCTGGACAGCCTGTGTGTCCCCCAGTACAACAAGGACGGGCAGGAGAGGGTGATCCTCTTCCTGAAGATGGCTTCCGGCCACACCTTCCGGCCCGACCTGGTGAAGAGGATCTGCAGCGCCATCCGCCTGGGCCTGTCCGCCCGGCACGTGCCCAGCCTCGTCCTGGAGACCCAGGGCATCCCGGTACGGCCCCCCACGAGCCCGCATGCTTCTGGACCTCTCATCTAGACGCTTGCTCAGGCTTTATATATAGTTGGTCCCCGTTGCCTGGCAACCCCATTCTGTTTTCGGCCATCTCCCTCTCTCTGTTTTTTTTTTTTTTTTTTTTTACTCTTCCTAAATTGCATGTAAAGCAACTTCTGCTAAATACCAGTCTTCAGAGGGTAAGCAGGGCCCGCCTGGCACGTCCAACTGGCTTTTCCTCTGTGTAGTTTTAGTGTGTGCTCAAATTATTAATGCAAAAATTAATTTTAACTTTTTAAAGAGTCGCTGGGGTGCCGTTCCTCCTGCCTTTTAATTTTAAGTTCTGCCTGCAGAAAGAAGATGTGAATCTATTTAGAGGCGCAGCTCCAGAAAGCTGCCCCCCCGCAATACTTTGCTTAGGTTCTCAGTGCGGGAGGAGATGCGCTCAGATCGGATCACGGCTTTAACCTGCGGCCGCTTACAAAACGAAGGCCTCTGTCAGCCGAGAAGGCCTCTGCGTATACACGCGTGTGCGCACACAGCCGTGTAAGGGCACAGCCGAGCCAAGCCCGCAGAGTAGCTGTTCACGGAGGCGGGGACGGGAACGGGTTAACCGAGCCACCAGGGGAAGGAGAGTCTGGATGTCGCTCCCCGAGCAGGGGCGGGCATGTGAGGTGCAGTTAGAACCAGGGCTTTTTATACCGTCCACATATTTCCTTTCCACTTTGGTTACGCGTAGGAAGGGCCCCCGCGGCCTGGGAGTTCTCTTGTCTCACTCGGCGGGCGGGTGACTCCGGGTGACGCTGTGCAGACAGTGGCTCTCAGGGAGAGAAGGGGCTTCCTGAGTCAGTGACACTCACTGTCTTTTCCCTGGTGAGGGTCTTAGGCTTCCCTTCAGTGGATCCGTTCTGTCTGGATCTGGAACAGTTTGGGCAACTAGAATGTGAGAGTCCCCTTGGCTTTATCTTGTTGAGAATGAATCTGTGTCCTTTGCTGCCGGAATGGTGATTCCCAAACTGTATCTGCTCACAAGAAGAGTGGAGCGATTTGCTGGAAGGTGAGGAACACCCCGGCCTGTCTTTCTTTCCGTCCTCAGCCTGGCTCTTGTCCCCTGACTTCCGGGCACTCAGTTCAGCTCTCTCCTCCTCCGTTCGCTTGACCTGTGAAGTCGTTTCAAGGGTTCCCGGGGCTTTTTCAAGCGCCCTCGTGTTCTCAGATCCCTGTGGTCCAAACTAATGGAGCACTTCGGAGAGGATTCGCCCTGTGCCACCAGGCTGGGGGGTGGGGGGTCTGGCCCAGCAACAGGGGCTCGGGGCTGGACACGGCCGAGGTCACGGCCGGGCGTCTGGTCACACCAAGGGGAACACAAACGGGCATCTGAGGCCCTGCCAGGCTGGAGGGTCCGGAGGCCATGACTGCCCTGATCTCAGCAGGTCTTTGTCACTGGTCACAGCTGATGTGCTGGCCCATCCTGACGGGAGGCTGTGCCTTATCTCCTGGGTAGGGGGGTAGGGAGGGGGCCAAGCAGGAGTCCAAGGACCTTCTGCCCCACCCCAGCCCTTCTCACCAAGAAGCAGGAGAAGGATTTCTTTTTTTCTTTTTTTTTTGCGGTACACGGGCCTCTCATTGCTGTGGCCTCTCCCGTTGCGGAGCACAGGCTCCGGGCGCACAGGCCTAGCAGCCATGGCTCATGGGCCCAGCCGCTCCGCGGCATGTGGGATCTTCCCGGACTGGGGCACGAACCTGTGTCCCCTGCATCGGCAGGCGGACTCTCAACCACTGCGCCACCAGGGAAGCCCAGGGGAAGGATTTCTTCTAAAACGATGTCTTGTTTGTTTTGTCAGCTGATGCAGGCTGTTCTTGGGGCTTTAAAGCACAGAAAGCACGTGAGACGTTTGCATTTCAGGGCAAGAGGGGCTGACAACACCCCAGTGACAGGTGGTCCTTCAGAAGCCGGTGCTCAGATCCTTAATTAGTTCACACGTAGACCGAGGTTTTCAATGAATGAATTTTAATTACATCTCAGGATAAAAAAAAAAAAAAATGCCAGTGTGAGGAGAGATCAGGGCACTGGCGGTTCATTAAAGGGCTCTCTGTTTGTTCCAGAATTTTCCTGGTCCCTAAACACGCCAGCACAGCCGCCAAATGACCATTGGGGTTAAAGATGAAACGCGTGCTATGAATTTTAGAGGGGCCTCTGAGCATTTGGACAGAGTCCGACTATGGGAAAAGCAGTGCCCCATCTCATTCAGATGACGGTTCTGGGGGAAGATTTGCCGGAAGTTTGGCGAGGCTCTTGGACGTAGCTCACTTTCCGGTGGTCAGGGACAGTCACAGGAAGCCAGCCCACTCCTGAAATAAGCTAGTCTTTCTAATATAATAAACAGTGTAAGAAGGTAAATGTAAGTAAGAAAGAGGCAGCGTAACAGCGAGGCACGTCCGAGAGCTGTGTGTGCCTTCACTCATCAGCTTGCCCACAGCCTCGGGGTGATGCTCTGGTCCCCAGGTGATGTTCCAGGGGACAAACCCAGGTTAAGGAACTCGCTCACGGTCACCCACCGAGAATCGCTCGCTCTGGTCGCCCCAGGTCACGATGGTCGTTTCGGCTTGGACGTGCCCAGATGTCAGAGCTGAGGGACTTCTTTCCCCTTCGGGTCTAAACGCTCTTCCTGTCTGCTTCCTCCCCTCCCCTGGCAGTACACCCTCAACGGCAAGAAAGTGGAAATGGCCGTGAAGCAGATCATCGCTGGGAAAACCGTGGAGCACCACAAAGCCTTCTCGAACCCCGAGACCCTGGATTTGTACCGGGACGTCCCCGAGCTGCAGGACTTTTGAACCAGGCCAGCTGGCACGTCCCTGAGCCACACACGTCTGTACTGTCACTTCTGTGCGTTCAAGAAGTTACTTAGAGGGACTTCCCTGGTGGCGCAGTGGTTAGCAATCCGCCTGCCAATGCATGGGACACGGGTTCCAGCCCTGGTCCGGGAGGATCCCACATGCCGTGGAGCAGCGAAGCCCGTGCGCCACAACTACTGAAGCCTGTGCTCTAGAGCCTGTGCTCTGCGACGAGAGAAGCCACCGCAATGAGAAGCCCGCTCGCCGCAACTAGAGAAAGCCTGGGGGCAGCAACGAAGACCCAACGCAGCCAAAAATAAATAAATGAATAAAAAAAAAAAAAAAAAAAGAAATGACTTAGAAACCTACGGCTCTTAGAAAAGGAGTTTGCACCAAGTCTGTAGGCCTGGGGAAGAACGATTCTCTGCTCTGCGGTTTCATCTGGTGGATCCCTGAGTCTTCCACCCGCCACAGGGGGATCCTGACCTTCAGGGGCCGAAAGGGAGGGTTTGGGTTGTGTGTGTGGCAGTCTGGAGAGTGTATGTTTTTGCACACTCGCAGGGAGGAGCTGGGGTCTCCTGTGCGTGCACTGGCATAGCCGACGCCTGGTCTCCATCCAGGGCCCGCAGGCATCTTGGTGACGGCTCACCCCAGGGCAGTGACCAGCCTGCAGCCTTGTACTGTGGTTCCATTTCCCTCTCTTAAGGCCCAGATCTCTTTCTTCCCTTTGTTTTCGTCTCCCGGCTCTGGCTGCCACCCTTCAGGGCCCATCTGTCTGCTGTGGCACGTTACCTGTCGCGGCGCCCGTCCCAGGGTGACTTTACAGCATCTCACGGCAGATTCTCAGGACCCCGGGCCGACCGCTCCCGCTCTCTGTGTGTCACGGACAGAATCTGGGCAGCTCCTGGGGGAACCGTGTGTCACACCCAGCCACCGGTGCTCCCCAGCAGATAGAGTTCCAGTTCCCTTTGGAGAATGAGTGGGTTACACGTTTTAATAGGATCTCTTAATTTCACGGGCTTTGAGTGGTTTGAAATTTTTTTAATGTTAATTAAGTGTGTGGTGTGTGGGTGTTTGAAGGCGTGGGTGATGTCCACGCCGTGGGGAGTGTCACTCAGGGATGCGGACGAGCCCCCAGGCCACGGGTCCTGCTGAAGCAGAGCCGCTGGGCCTCAGGGGACGTGGCCTCACTGCACAGGGGGCCGGGACCTGCACATCAAAAGCTTGTCGCCAGCAGCTGTATGTACTTTTGAATGTACTGTTCAGTTCAGCCTCTTAACACACTCCTGTCGTCGTCATGTTCATTTTTGTATTTTTTGAAACCGAGTACAGTGAAAAGCTTTCTTGAACCCTTTTTCTCATGGATTATAGAAAAGGGGCAGCGCTGAGTTTACTGGAGTTAATTTATGACTACATTTTAAATGCAGAGTAAAGTCCGGAAAAGTGATTCTATCCCGGGATGGTAAAGAGGTTTCCCCTCAGGTGGCAGCTCTGATAAACTGGTGATAGGCAGAGTGTCCCATTCAGAAGGGCTCTGAAGCCAAATATCAGCTGAAAAGAAATGCATCAGGATTGGCCAGCAGTGTCTGTCATGGCTAAATGCTGGATTGTTTCTTGTCAAGTGTGAATGTCAAGTATAAACTGGGTATTGTAAGAGATTGGATAGGGCTCTGCCAACTTAAAGGCAGACACACAATGTTTAATAAACTATTTCAAACTTCCTAAAAAAAACGGGGCAGGTGCTATGAGGCATTTAATACAGTAAGCATATACGTATATGTGCACACCCCCGTGCGAGCGGCGTGCTGCGTGTTTTCTCTGAAGCCAGGGCTGGATCTGAGGGCCTAAAGCTGGTGCAGATGGGGCAGCCAGGAGCCGCAGCCCGCTGGGAGATGTTTGGCCCAGGTGGCAGGGGCATGTCCTGGGTCCCTGCGAGTTAGCGGCCGTGCCTGGTGACCGAATGGCCCCAGAGCCCTTCTCAGTGTGAAGCCACCCCCCAGAGGACGAGGACTTTCCTCACCCTGGGCTCCCCCAGGGCTTAGGGCCGCCGGGGTTCTGGACAGCACTTTCTCATCATTGCAGGAGCCGGGGGCCGCTTGGGTCGTGCCTGGCTCTGTGTCGCAGCATCCGGGCTGCCCCCTGGCAGGGCTCATTTTTCTCGCGTCATGGCAGGTTAGAGGCCGCTGTAGGGCGGGTGTAGGGGCGATAGGTGCCCGGCTCCTCCTGTGCCCTGGGCTCCGCCGTGCTCGCGTGGGGCTGCTCACCCCGCCCGCGTCCCAGGCGGGAAGGAGGACGTGACCAGGGCCGGGCGAGAGGCAAAGGGCCTGTCCCTCCTCAGCGTGGCCCGTTTGTATCAGCAAAACAACGGCTTTTCTGGAAAGCCCACCCAGTGCACATCTGCTTATGCCTCAGAGGCCAGAACTGGCCACAGGCCACCTCTCCCTGCGGGGGCAGCTGGACAGCTGAGTGTTTTTACGCTGGCCTGTTGCCTTTGTGGACAGGCAGACCTCATTTTATTGCACTTCGCTTTATTGTGCTTTGCAGATATTGTGTTTTGGGTTTTTTTTTTTTACCAGTTGAAGGTTTGTGACAACCCTGTGCAAATCTGTTGGTGCTGTCTGCTCACTTCGTGTCCTCGTGTCACATTTTGGCAATTCTCGCAATATTTCAAACCCTCCACCTGCAAGATTACAACTCACTGAAGGCTCAGACAGAAGTTTTTAGCCATAAAGTATTTTTTACTTAAGGAACGTACATTTTTGTTTTAGATACAATGCCATCGCATAGTTAATAGACTACAGTATAGTATAAACCACCTTTATGCGCGCTGGGAAACCAAAAACTTCGTGTGACTCGCTCTATTGCGGTGGTCGGGACAGAACCGGCCATGTCTCCCAAGTATGCCTGTATTAGTTTCCTGCTGCTGCTGTAACAAATTACCACAAACTTCAACCAGCATGAATTTATTATAGTTCTGGGGGTCTGAAGTGTGACGCAGGTTTCGCTGGGCTAAAATCAGAGCGCCGGCAGGTGGTGTTCCTCCTGCGGGCTCTAGGGGTCGCCCGTTCCTCGCCGTCCAGCTTCTGGAGGCACCTCCCTCCTCGGCTGGTGGCTCATCCCTCATCCTCAAAGGCTGCAGCAGTCTAACACCCCTGCCTCCCTCTTCCACGTACAAGGACCTCTGTGATTACCCTCACTCAGAGGCCTCACTCAAATAGTCCAGGATAATCCCCTATTTTAACACCTACTGATTAGCAAGCTTAATTCTGTCTGCAGCCTTAAATGCCCCTGGCCACATAACCTAACGTTTTCACAGGTTCCAGGGATTGGGATGTGGGCATCCTTCTGGGGGTGGGAGTGGGATTATTCTTCCTACCTGGCTTTGCAAACTCCGCCAGGTGCTGTAGGGCAGGAAGGGGAAGAGTGGTGGTCAGGAAGGCGTGAGCCCCGAGCCGGGGGAGTGAACAGTCGGGACCCCTGGTTGCTGACTGCCCCCGGGCGGGGCTCATCCTCCCCGTGTGACCGGCCTGCCAGCCTCCTTCCCAGGGCTAAGGTCAGACCCGGGACCCCCGGCCCTCTCCTCCGGCCGGGTGCTTGGAAGCCACTTCATATTGGCTGTGCCTGAGGAGTCGTTAGGGCTTACTCGCCCTGCCCTTTAGTTCTGGCAAGACGTCCCGGGCCGGCTGAGCTCACGCGTCCTTATTAATAAGCCGCGCTGGACAACTTCATTAACGAGAGACAGATGGGCTGGAACAACAGCCCACTCCATCGCCCGCGGAGCCAGCTCTCCCGTGGAGTGCCTTGGCCCCAGCATCGCTCTTCAAAACCCCGGCACTTGCCGGCCAGCTGCACTGAGCCTTCCTCCCTGCTCCTGTCCTTCCCGTTCCCACACCACCCGTGTCCCAGCAGCAGCTCCAGGGAGCCTCAGGACCTGCAGCGCGGCCTGGCCGGGGCTGTGAAGTTCTGTGCCCCTGGTCGCCTCCCACGGGTGACAGAGGAGAGTAGGGAAGGAGAAAACGGGCAAGCTGACTTCTGGAAAATTCTTCCATCCACCCGGCGCCCGATCCAGACCCTCCCTGCCGCCCCCGCCCTCCCCCGGCGCCACCCTGTCACCCCGAGCACCATCGTGCACAAAACACAAGAACGGTTCCGGTTCATCAAGCAAATAGGTGTTGAACACACAGCGAAGGTGATGGGGAGCCTGTCGGATGCCGCCGGGAAGCCCAAGCTGGCGTTGATGAGCGAGTTGCCGTTTACATCAACACAAACTCATTCTAAAAGCCTGCTGCCATCATGTCCCCAAGCCTTGGAGGCTGTCATAAATGGAAAGGAAAAGGCCCGCTTAGATGATGTTTAAAATGCACTGTGAGCTACGTGCTGGCTCCTTGTCACGGCTGATCATCTTGGAGCGTGCCCTTGGCCGTCCCAGCAGTAAGTGGACGGTCTTATAATTTCATTAGATGACTTCCAGGGGAGAAACCGTTGTTAAGTCAATTCATTATGCTCTGGAACAATTTCCAAACTTTTTCATCTTGGGACGCCCTCCCTGTGCTTCCTCCTACTCTTTCTTTCCCTGGCTCGAACTGTAACTCATGAGTCAGGCTAGGTTTTGGGGAGACGAAAAGGGACAGCTTGGACCCAGTTTTCATTTTCTGGGCTTCGAGCTTGCCGGTCTCATCAGTCCTGCTCACCATTTACCTGCTGAGCGTGGTCTCACTCCTTTTGGTGTCCGCTTGCATTTTTCAATCATGACTCAGGATTTTCTTGGCTACGTGTAACAGAAACCCCGATCCAAACTGGCTCAGGCGAAAAAAGGGTATTATTGGCCCACAGTTCTGAAAACTCAAGTGCTACGACTAGCTTCAAGTGTGGCAGGATCCAGGGGCTCCGTGAAGTCATCAGTGTTCTCTGCCCCCATATCAGCTCTGCCCTCCTCTGTGTTGATCACATTCTCAGTTGGCTTCTCCTCTCAGGAGGGCAAGGTGAATACTTACAGCTCCAGGCTACGTCCTCACAGGGCTGAGAGGGGAGAAACATTTTTTTCCCCTAGCAGTTCCAACGTGAGTGGC